CAGAATACTTTAAAATCAAAGAAAATGAAGGCACTGTGGTTGGTTCATGTCTGTCATAGTTGTTTTTCGTAAATTGTTTTGTTATAAATTAGGCCGTTAGTTTTCTCAATTGAATTGTTTCATATTTTTCATGTTGGGGCCTTTTATAGCCGACTATACGGTATGGGTATTTCTCATTGTTGAAGGCCGTACAGTTGCCTATTATTGCTTACATCCACCTTATTTTTATACTGTGTTGGCCGACAGCTCTAGATACTGTTCACCAATATTTGCTAGCGATTTATATACTGTGGATTCATTTATTTTTGTGGATTGAAGAAAATTTGTATATTCGTGGATGGTTTCGCATGCAAACCCAAAGGAAATTTGTATATTGGTGGATGGTTGTGCTAGAGTCTGCATGCAAACCCAAAGGAAATTTGTGCTTCATTGAATTTTTCTTTGTTCAGTTATATCCAAGAAAACCACGAAAACGTATGAATAATAATGCGACTGTTGGCAAGTAAGAAAATAATACAACTATCTCAAACTTCAGCTTTTTATATATGAATACATAAACTGTTAACACAGAGATATGTTTCGCCTATTTGTTATTTTGATAATGCAAATGTTGTAATTAAAATAGCAATATTTAAACATGTAAGTTATGCAAATATTCAAAGTCAATGAACCATGACTGAAGGTATAGGGCTTAACAATCTCCATGGAAATGAGATGTGCCAATGCTAATACAACTGCAAACCAAATACCATTCACTTTTCATAAGTCGTTCCCTATAAACAAACCTAAACACAAACATTAACTTGTAAACTATGTAAAAGTTTCAAAGTCAATGAACCATAATTAGGGGGTGGGGTTATATAATCTCCATGGAAATGAAACTTGCAAATGCCAATACATTTGCATACCAAATATCATTGACTTAACATTAGTGGTTCATCTTGAACTGACCTAATCACAAACCAATACATGTAAACTAAGCAAAAGTTTCAAAGTCAATAGACCATGACTGAGGGGTAAGGACCAAATATTCTCCATGGAAATGAGATGTGCTAATGCTTATACAACTGCATACCAATTATCATTGACCTACCACTAACAGTTACCCTTAAACTGACCTAATTACAAACTAATACATGAAAACTAAGCAAAAGTTTCAAAGTCAATAGACCATGAATGAGGAGACAGGGCCAAATAATCTCCATGGAAATGAGATATGCCAATGCTTATACAGCTGCATACCAAATATCATTGACCTACCACTAGTTTCTACCACTCTGTCAAAGCTTGTTTTCTCACAAAACATACCTGGTGAACAGATCAATGCATATTGAATCTTAGCCAGGGGTTCAAATTTGCATTAAATAATGAAAGGTCCAGGACAATTTGAAATTAAGTGAAAGATCCTCCATAAGAAATTCAACGGTCCTGTATAAAGCATCAGTGTTAAGAATGGTAGGCCCTTGACTTTAGTAATTTAAAAATGAAAAGTCCTCTCCTAAAAAACACAGGTCCTGGAACTCAGACTATCACTAATTTGAACCCCTGTTTGCTGAAAGCAGAAAGCCCCATTGTCATTTGTTGCAATTCCTTTGTTTCAATATGAATTTGAATGAAAATCTATTAACACATTGGTATTATCAATATATCATTCATGGATAACTGCCTCATTTCTCACTGCAGATTCAAGTGGGAATATGTAAGAACCAATTTATCTAATATGTTTTATATACATGTATTATTCTTTTTTTTAATGATTTAATATTTGTTTTAGGTTTTTCGTCTTGTCGTTTTAGGTTAATATATAAGAATATAAAGCAAATTTTACAGCAAAATTTTATCTATGTGATGTTTTTTTTTCAACTATTAAACCTGGCACAGGTTATACCATGTATACAGTGACAAAACTTGTTATCAAAGCAACATAGCCAACTGTGTATAAAGATTACCATAAATCAAATAGGATTATCCGATATACATGTACCTTCTTGTTGAGTATGTCCATCAATCAATCAAACACACAAACAGCATATTCTTGTTATTGAACATTTCCATAATAATTCTTAGATAATAAAATGCATATCAACAAATACTTGAATGTCATTGGTTCTGTGGAATTTCTTACCTTGGTTTACACTTTGACAGACCATACTGCAGAAACTACTTTTGTTACCATGGAAACATTGTAAACCATGTAATCCTGGGGTTTAGAATAAGATGAATTTTAAAGAATATTGGGGTTGAGAATAATAACTATTAAACACTTTTTTGCTATAGGTTATTGATCTGGAAACTTGACAGCTAACTCACAAACTTAACATAAAATTCAGTGAGTTAATGGGCCCAGTTAACACCTCAATAACCTCTAGAAAAATGTGTTTAATCCTATAATTCCCTGTGTCACAACAACTCTTTCAAGAATAATTATCGTATCTTTGTGACACACTGCTATAATCAACATGTGGATAGGATGATCCTAGCTGTGGAGTTTATAGTTGAAGAAGGGACACTTTTACCATTATTTTTGGTCTTCACTTCACATCAATTATTGCACACTAATTTGCTTTTTTAGCATGTATGCATATTTTGGTACAATTTGATTCTTCATACAAGTCAAAGTGGATTTCTTTACATAGTTAACATTTCAGCTATCTCAAATCTAAATTTTGTCTATTCTGTTTTAAGTTATAGTGCTTTCAAAAATCCCTTTGCTTCAACAAATTTAATTAAATAAGTGGAGAATGTGTCCATGGAACACAGATGATGCCCCCCCCCCCCTTTCATATAACATTATACAAGGACATCACTGAAGAAGGGTAAAAGAGAGGAGAAAGATACCAGAGGGACATTCAAACTCACAACGCCATGGCTAAAAAAGGAAAAGACCAACAGATAAAACAATAGTACACAAAACACAACATAGAAAACTAAAGACTAAAGCAACACGAACCCCACCAAAAACTGGGGGTAATCTCAGGTGCTCCAGAAGGGTTAGCAGATCCTGCTCCACATGTGACACCCGTCGTGTAACTCTAGAACGGTTAAAGTGACATCACCCAAATTCAAACTTGATCTGTGTTTTGTGGTAATAAGCATTGTTTATAAGTTTCATAACATTCAGTTGAAGCAAACTAAAGTTAGAGAACAGAAACCAATTTCAGGACATACGGACGAACAGACAGGACAAGGGTAACACTTAATGCCCCCTCCGCTACAGCGGTGGCATCAGTAAGATAGAGTTAATATAAGTCTGCTTCAATGACTTTTTTTGTCCTTTACCGATCCATATACCGAAAATCAGCAAATTGTATCGTAAAAATGGAAGAAGATTGTGACCTTTTACTCTTCTGAATATATCTAATTTTGGTTGGCGAGAAACTCACTTTTTCAGAGCATTTTGAAATATCTGGTGAGATGAGCAAACCTTTATTATTAAACTTTTGATTTAATGTTTAGAACTTCAATCTCACATCAGTTTCATTAATTGACGGTTTATTTGTTATTAATATCATTACACCCTATTACCAAACACTGAGTAACATAATTTCAAATAAAAAAAATTTCAGTGGCAAATATTTCATACATATGCAGCAGAACAAATCGACAATTATTGTAACAGGTAGGGTTTGCAATGTATGTAGACCTGGATAGAAGGCAGGAAATTCCACCAGAAAAAATGGTCCTTTTCTGTACCTTTATCAGTTGGTTTTAGAGAATAAAGTATCTTCCAATCTATCTATGAATAGGGGCCAAAATTTTGCTTGGCAACAGGCCACCTATGGATCCCTCTGAGAGTTTTTGCAAGGATACTCACCATAATTGAGCATTGGAATTCACGTCACCATTCCTGAAAGTGGCTGGGAATTTATACAACCTGTACAGCTAAACAGAAGCCCCACTTTATCAAGGGTTAACAAACAGGAGGATTCCAGGGATGACCATAATTTTTCCCCCAGTCAACTCTTTGTGTCATCGACAAATGAAATTGAAAGGAAATAGAAGTCCATGTTTTAGAATGAGAAACTCCAAATAACAATCAAGATTAAAAAAATTAAAATAGCAGGTGCACAAACACGTGTCCTTAAGAAAAATCTTTACATGTTTGCTTGAATTCTTACTAGCTTTTTTTCAAGAGGCTGATTAACCAAAGTATTATATGGACTATGCAAGACAGTAACCTAAATAATTCAGTCCCTCGGTATGATCTACATTTATACAATAAAAACATGCCACGAATCCCAGCGTTTGATTGGCACTCGTTGGATGAGAGAGCCAATCAGCTGGTAGCTAAATTTCATCGAGATAGTTAAATCCTGAGCTTATTCTGGATTATTAATAAATGATTTTTACTAAGGGAGCTACCATTTGATTTTTATGGGGGGCTAGGATGACAAAATTTGTCCTGCCTTTTTTTTTATTAGTTTATCCCGACTTTTTTACATAAATTGTCATCCTGCCTTTTTTTATTTGCCAAGTTGCTCATCCTGCCTTTTGTTTTACTCAAAACTCCTGTCCTGCCTTTTTTTTCAAATTTCATCCTAGCCCCCCCCCCCCCCGCCCCCATAAAAATCATATGGTAACTTAAGACTTCAGGTGTTAATGTAGCCATCCTAGGGTAGCAGAATATAATTGAATTATTTTGGTGATCAAGGCAACAGAAGATGTGCATATTTTGTAATACTGTCTTAGCTGTTTAAACAAGTGGAACTGCAAGCTCCCTGATGATACCCCCGCTTAAATATTTCGGTAAACAGGAAGTTGTTGAGTGATGAATCTGAAAACGCATCACATGGTATAGCTGACTTATATAAACCCTGAAACCAAATTTCAGATATCCTTATGATGTAGTTCCTGAGAAAGCTGCGACAAAAAATATTCATGGGACGGATGGACGGAGGTAAAACAGTATACCCCCACTTTTTTAAAGCTGGGGTATAATAACTCAGGTGAAGACACATTGTTTCACTGGGAAGGCAATAAAATAAACTTCAATAGTGACACAGTATATTTGATTAGATTTTATCTGTACACAACTCTTTATTATATTACTATAATGATGGTTAAAATGTCTGCATGAAAAACTGACAAATAATAAGGACTGTTCCAAAAAAGACGAAAAAATATCATATAACACGGCATAAAAAGCGAACATTTAATTACATACAAATGCACCAGTAAGCCATCATACATCAATCTGACCTTTTATTATTAAAAATTTCTCCCCACTTACAAATAGAAGACAGCTTTACAACAAATACAGATCCTGTGCCCAAGCTACGCTTACACAGATCTGAAAATGCTCCATTCTACTTTCTGTTTTTGAAAATCTTTCAGGATTCTCTGATTCATACACACCTTCAAAAATTTGAAGGCTGAATTTTCATTGGCCGATGTAATAATTACCAGAACAGAAAGTAGAACAGTGTAAGTATAGCTTAGACACAGGATTTGTATTTTAATCAGAAATGTTTTACAACAGCATACTTTAACTTTTAAACGGTACACATCTTTTGTTTAGTTCATTCAAGTAACCATTCATTGGCCAGCAGATTTTCTTGTCAATTTGAATTGATTTTACTAAGAGCTATAAAAAATTATTGAGGTAATACATAAAAAGCTGAAAAACAGTCAGATTACAGAACTTTATCTAATGAATAATTGTTGGTATTTAGCACCTTTTTATAAACACATTAAGCTATATCATGGCTGCTAGATTTGATTGGCGGAGGAGGCAGGAGTACCTGGAGAGAGTGAATGACCTTCAGCAGGAAACTGGCAATCATCGTCAAATAGAGTCATACACCCCTTGCCAATCTGGGTTAGAACTCACAACCTCAGTGCTTACAGGCTAGTGATTACTGTAGACAAGAGTGCACACACTGAAATGTCTCGCCTACTATACTGACCATTGATTTTATGTTGATAGTCCTACATAAAAAGTTTTACTTCAAGTATCACATTAACATTTATGATCCAAGAAAATGAGGTCAAGGTCAGATAAACCAAGCCGGAAATACATGTACACCTTTAATACAATCCCTCCATACACAGAATATAGATGACCTATTGCTTATAGTATAAAAGAAACAGACCAAACCATGGAAATTCTATACTGACCAATGAACCATGAAAATGAAGTCAAGGTCATTTGAACCCTGCCAGATACACATATACACCTTACAATCATTCCATACACCAAATATAGTTGACCTATTGCTTAATTTAAGAAAAACAGACCAAAACACAAAACTTAACATAAGCAATGAACCATGAAAATGAGGTCATGGTCAAATAAAACCTGCCAGACTGACATGTACATCATTAAATATTTCCATACACCAAATATAGTTGACCTACTGCATACAGTATTAGAAAAACATACCAAAACACAAAAACTTAACATTTAGCAATGAAACGTGAAAATGAGGTCAAGGTCAAATAAAACCTGCCAGACTGACATGTACATCGTAAAATATTTCCATACACCAAATACAGTTGACCTATTGCATACAGTATTAGAAAAACAGACCAAAACACAAAACTAAACTATGACCACTGAATCATGAAAATGAGGACAAGGTCAGATGACACCTGCCAGTTGGACATGTACACCTTACAATCATTACATACACCAAATATAGTATCTCAGATATGGACTTGACCAAGAAAACTTAACCTTGTTCACTGATCCATGAAATGAGGTTGAGGTCAAGTGAAACCTATCTGACAGGCATGAGGACCTTGCAAGGTACGCACATACCAAATATAGTTATCATATTACTCATAAGAGAGAAATTAACATAACAAAAAATCTTAACTTTTTTTTTCAAGAAGTCACTGAACCATGAAAATGAGGTCAAGGACAATGGACATATGATAGATGGAAACTTCATATTATAAGGCATCTATATACAAAGTATGAAGCATCCAGGTCTTCTACCTTCTGAAATATAAAGCTTTTAAGAAGTTAGTTCACGCCTCTGCCGCCGGATCACTATCCCTATGTCGATCTTTCTGCGACAAAAGTCGCAGGCTTGAAAATAATGCCCCTCAGCAACTGCAACCAAGGAGATCTACTTAAATGGAAGCATTTTTCTAAATATCTCTCTTATTGAATTCTTAAGTGCTAAGTATTTTCAAGTTTTCATAATGAGTATACATTTGTACTAAAGGCCAACTTGAAGCTTGGTGTCAAGAATTGATACATGATCTTTTTTCCTCCTGTTCTCTCAATATTATGTTTAATCAGATTGCTGTGATTTCAGGTCTTTCCTCTTGTCAAACTTACAAAAAATATTGATACTCTGACATAGTTTGAAAAATACACTTTTGATCACCATAAAATAAACGTTTATCATAGAAAAGAATCTTCCAACTGAATCAAATACTGCGGATTCATTTATTTTCGTGGATATCTATTTTCATGAATTGAGGGAAAATTGTATTTTCTTGGATATTTGTTCATGGTTTTGTCAAAGTTTGCATATAAGCCTATAGAAAATTTCATACTTCCTTGAACATTTAAATTCATGGTTTATCTACGCTCACGAAATCACCCGAAATTTTACCATACGAATAATAATGACTCCCCAGTAGTAATCACTTAACATGTAACATGATGGAACAGCCCTGAACTATATACACATGCAAAATTACAAACAAAATTTAATATATATATTTTAATGAAACAGCTGCTACTGCAAATTCAGAAATTGTTGTGTGCTTTTATCATTTTTATTTTATTTTTTAAGAATGGACAAAAATGTGAGATAAATTATTGTGATTTCAGGAAATGCTGCATACAGATATGTGTATCCGATATCAGAATGCAAATTCTTTTTATTGCTATACTCACCTAGTCCAGGGGCGGATCCAGCCATTTTTAAAAGGGGGGTTCTAACCCAGGATTAACGGGGGGTTCCAACTATATGTCCCCATTCAAAAGCATTGATCGCATAAAAAAAAGGGGGGGGGGGGAGGTTTCAACCCCTCGGAACCCCCGCCCTGGATCCGCCACTGTAGTCACATTATTCGTGTTCATAAAAACATCACAATAATTTATGAATTTACAGTATATATAACAATTACAGCAACATAGGGTGTAACAATGTCAACTTCAGTACCCATTAGGTGATGATACACTAAAAAGTGACCTCTAACTGGTTTTTCGTGAATCAATGTGAAATGAGGTGATTGCTTGTGATTATATGATAGAAAAACAAAGGATATGGGGTATCCATCCTTGACACAAAATCAATACATGCACAGGTTGATTTTATGTTGGTGTTTAACGCCACTTTCAGCAAGCACACACTGTTGGCTATATCATAACTGCCAGTTTTTCCTTGTGGAGGAGAGAGAACCATCTGCCTTCAAGATTTCTAGTCAATTTTAATTAGATTGAATGCCATGAGAAGGATTAGAACTTACAACCTCAGTGATATGATCATTGTAGGTGACTTAAGATCACTTAACAAGCATTTTAAAAGACTAGTATAAATTAATAATCTAAAAATAAACTAAATAAAATTCTCCGCTGGGCGCAGCTTGATACGACCGCAGAAGTTGAACCCTGAACTGTTGGGGCAAGTATGGACACAACATTCAAGCTTAATATAGCACTGAATTTGGATTGTGATTAATTATTTGACACAGCATAGGTTTCTGACACAGAATGAATGTGGTCTAAGAACTTAAAAATTTTTAATTTACCTATTCAAACCATTTCATTATTATTTGCTTTTATATATAAATCAGAAATAACCAATTTAAAATGAAAATATTAAAGAAAAAAATTTGTAAGGGTTCCGCGGAACCCAGTGTCTCACCTACTTTTTAATCGCAGGCTCAACAAAAATAAGGAAGTAAATCAAAAAAAATATTCCTCTTGATACTATCTTTTGATTGTAAGAAGCTTCTGTCCAAGTTTGGTAAAAATCCAGGATAGTTTCTGAATCTAATAAATGTTTAAAAACTTTAACTGTAGACTGAATGTAATGTTAACTGGAAAAAAACAAAATTTCCTTCTAGATACTAGCATTTGATCATAAACAAGCTTCTGTCCAAGTTTGGTACAAATCCAAAATAGTATAAGAAAGTTATTAAAATTTTAAAAACTTTAACCACAGAGTGAATATGTTGTTTCCTGGCAGAAAATCTAAATCCATTTAAAAGTAAAATACGGAAAAAATGGATTTATTTTTTTACAAAATTTCCTTCTAGATACTAGCTTTTGATCATAAACAAGCTTCTGTCCAAGTTTGGTACAAATCCAAAATAGTATAAGAAAGTTATTAAAATTCTAAAAACTTTAACCACAGAGTGAATGGGTTGTTTCCCAGCAGAAAATCTAAGTCCATTTAAAAGTAAAATAAGGAAAAAATGGATTTATTTTTTTACAAAATTTACTTCTAGATACTATATTATGATCATAAACAAGCTTCTGTCCAAGTTTGGTACAAACCCAGGATAGTTTAAGAAAGATATTAAAATTTTAAAAACTTTAACCACAGAGTGAATGTAATATTTCCCGGCAGAAAAACTAAGTCCATTTATAAGTAAAATACGGAAAAAATGGAATTTTATTTTTACAAAATTTACTTCTGGATACTATCTTATGATCATAAACAAGCTTCTGTCCAAGTTTGGTAGAAATCCAGGATAGTTTAAGAAAGTTATTAAAATTTCAAAAACTTTAACCACAGAGTGAATATTTGTGGACGCCGCCGCCGACGGAATGTAGGATCGCTATGTCTCGCTTTTTCGACTAAAGTCGAAGGCTCGACAAAAAAGGAAAAAAAAAATCCCCCCTCAAATTTTTTGAACCCCCTTATGATTCATCATCCCCAAACTTAATCCCAGCCTTCCCTTTGTGATATGGAACCTTGCAGTACAATTTCAGAGAGATCTGTACACTTGAACACAAGTTATTGTCTGGAAACTAGAAAAATGCTTGTTTTTGGCCCCATTTTCCTTAACATTTAGGGCAATTAACCCCAAACTCAAACCCAGCTTTCCCTTTGAGATATGGAACCTTGTAGTACAATTTCATAAAGATCCATACACTTACACACAAGTTATTGTCGTGACACTAGAAAAATGCTTGTTTTTTTGCCCCTATAGCTAATTCCTACAATTTTGAGGCAATTACCCCCAAACTCAATCCCAGCCTTCCCTTTGTGGTATTGTACCTTGCAATCAATTTCAGAGAGATCTGTACACTTGAACACAAGTTATTGTCTGGAAACTAGAAAAAATGCTTGTTTTTGGTCCCTTTTTGGCCCCAAACTCCTAAACGTTTCGGGCAATTACTCCCAAACTCAAACCCAGCTTTCCCTTTGTGATATGGAACCTTGTAGTACAATTTCATAAAGATCCATACACTTACACACAAGTTATTGTCCTGGAACTAGAAAAATGCTTGTTTTTTTGCCCCTAATTCCTAAAATTTTGAGGCAATTACCCCCAAAATCAATCCCAGCCTTTCCTTTGTGGTATGGTACCTTGCAGTACAATTTCAGAGAGATCCGTACACTTGAACACAAGATATTGTCTAGAAACTAGAAAAATGCTTATTTTTGGCCCCTTATTCCTAAATGTTTTAGGCAATTACCCCCAAACTCAATTCCAGCTTTCCCTTTTAGATATGGAACCTTGTAGTACAATTTCAGAAAGATCCATACACTTACACACAAGTTATTGTCATGAAACTAGAAAAATGCTTGTTTTTTGCCCCTAATTTCATAAATTTTGGAGGTAATTACCCCCAAAATCAATCCCAGCATTCCCTTTGTGGTATGGAACCTTGTTATACAATGTCAGAGAGATCCATACACTAACACACAAGTTATGTCTGGAAGTTACAAAAATGCATATTTTTGGCCCCTTATTCCTTAACTGTTGGTACCATAACCCCCAAAATCAATCCCAACCTTCCTTTTGTGGTATTGAACTTTATGGTAAAATTTCATAGAGATCCATTCACTTAAACTAAAGTTAGAGTGCGAAAACCAATGTGTCTTCGGATGACGAAGACGACGCCAACATCATACCAATATACGACCGCAAAATTTTTCGCGGTCGTATAAAAAGTAGAAAAATTCAGCCTTTTTTTCATTTGTAAAGGGGCATAACTCTAGAACAGTAGAAGTGACGCCACCAAAATTCAAACTTGATCTGTGTTTTGTAGTACTTAATAAGCACTGTGTATAAGATTCATAACATTTGGTTGAGGCAAACTAAATTATTAAGAGAAAGGAATCGTAAAATTCAGCAATTTTTTCGTTAGTAAAGGGGCCTAACTCTTGAAAAGTAAAAGTGACACCACCAAAATTCAAACTTAATCTGTGTTTTGTGGTAATAAGCATTGTGTATAAGATTCATAACATTTGGTTTAGGCAAACTAAAGTGAGAGAACGGAAATGAAAAATTCACCAATTTTTCCATTTGTAAAGGGGCATAACTCTAGAACAGTAAAAGTGACACCACCAAAATTCAAATTTGATCTGTGTTTTGTGGTAATAAGCATTAATTATAAGTTTCATAACATTTGGTTGTGGCAAACTAAAGTTAGAGTACGGAAACCAATTTTGGGACGTATGGACGTACAGACAGACAAGGGTAAAACTTAATGCCCCGTCCGCTATGGCGGGGGCATTAAAAAGTGAAGTTTTCCGCCATATCAACTGAAAATTATTTGACCAACAGATTCCACCACTGCTTTAGATGCAAAACCATATTTCTGTACTCTCTCCAATTAAATTTCTAATATTTAATGTTCTGCAAACCAGGTATTTTAAATTTGAAAAGTAAACTGTCTGAATTAATGAAACTTCCTATCACATTCTTTGGAGTGGAGGAATCTATTCCAAATGTAAACAGAGATATCAGAGTAAATCAATCATCCACTGTCACCAGCTTTCACTGTGAAAAAAAAAACATGAAGAAAACCAACGACCATGAGTAATTGACTGAATTTCTGCAATTCTCTCCCTTATACCATGATTAAATAAAAGAACAGAGTTCAGTTATCCCCCTGGGGGTCGCACATATTTTATCTGTCCCAGGACAATAACTGAAAAAGATTTTTTTTATGGTTCTTTATTCTTTTAAACATTTTTTATAAATTATTTTAGAGAAATGAAGGTTTGAAAGCTCTATCAATGCAATTTTCCATACTATTAATATTTTTAAGGGACATAATTCTTTTAACAATTGTTGATGGGCCATGATTTTTTTGAAATTGTGAGACATTGCTGATATAAATCTTTGATATAAATTTAATATATATCTGACAAGAATTGTACACATCAGAGCTCTCAAAATGCAATTTTCCATATACCGTAATTAATATTTCCAAGGGGCATGACTCTTCTTCATTTTTTTTTATCAGCACTGATTTTAGAACTTGTCCGATACATTGTTGATATAAATTTCATAATAATCTGGAAAGAACTGTACACATGAGTGCATTTACAATAGCTCTTTTAGAAATAACTGATAGACAGTGATTTTCTCATTTGTTCGATACATTGCTGATTTAAGCCTATGTATGCTCTAAATTTCATAAAAATCTGGCAGTTGGTATTTCTATGTCCCCCAGCGACACATTATTGGGGACCAAAAAAGACCCTGATAGCATTGTTCAAGTCTGATTGTAATCCTGAATAACAAACAAACAATTTTGAACTTCATGAACAAGTTCTTTGAATAATTAAAAAAATAGGGTTGTCTATAAATAAAACAAAAAGCATGACATAATTAAAGCAAAAATTTTGCAATTGCATGAAGAAGGGAATCCTCGTATATGTATATCATTTAAACCAACCAAAAATTCTCAAGTTCTACAGCATTTTCATTTTTTTAAAGCTTTTATAGATTATGGTTATAATAAGGGGTTAAAGGTTTATTAGACTACAAAACATGCATTAAATATTAATGATAATAATAATATACTAGTCATCACAAGGTTTCAAAACCAGAAGAGACAAAATTATACAATGGATACTAAATCTAGGCAAGCTGTTGATAAATTCAACAGAGAAGACATACAGATAAAATCAACACCCAGTTACAGGATGTAAACATGGTAAACAAGAATGTGTCCATAGTACACGGATGCCCCACTCGCATTATCATTTTCTATGTTCAGTGGACCGTGAAATTGGGGTCAAACCTCTAATTTGGCATTAAAATTAGAAAGATCATATCATAGGGAACATGTGTACTTAGTTTCAAGTTGATTGGACTTCAACTTCATCAATGAAAGAACCTTAGTGAGCGCGCTCACATACCCCACGTCCCCACATTGTCATTGGAGAAATAAAATAAGTGTAAGAAAAAATAAAAATTGTATCAGAAAAAAAAATTAAATCATAATTTCCTGTCAATATGCACATCTACATAGTATGTCCTTATTATCTGAAAAGGTTTCATGAAATTCTGTTGTGTGGTTTGAGATTAGTTGCGATGACAAAAGGTTGCAGTAGTATATTGGGCAAATAAGTTCAAAGGGGCATAACTCCTGGAAAAAAATTTAATCGTAATTTTCTGTCGATATGCACATCAACGTAGTATGTCCTTATTATCTGAAAAGTTTTCATGAAATTCTGTTGTGTGGTTTGAGAGGAGTTGCGATGACAAACTGTTGCAGTAGTACATTAAAGTAAATAAGTTCAAAGGGGCGTAACTCCTAGAAAAAGAATTGAATCGTAATTTCCTGTCGATATGCACAACTACATAGTATGTCCTTATTATCTAAAAAGGTTTCGTGAAATTCTGTTGTGTGGTTTGAGAGGAGTTGCGATGACAAGAAACAGGACTGACGGACGGGTCAAAAACATTATACCCTCCGCAACTCGTTGCGTGGGGTATAAAAACTACCTGAAGCGACTAATTGACAGACGCACAAACGGATGGACGAACGAACGCACAGACAGAAAAACATAATAAAACAAACAACCAAACGAGGTAGTGACAACATATAAAGGAGTTCCAAACTTTGACTAGCATACCAATATGTGGAAGGGACACACTTGGGCCACACTTCAAAATATTTTGGTTTGCCCAAACCCTACCCAAAGGTAGAGACAGTGGGTAGGTAGGTAAGCATTTTCTTTTTTTTTTCGGCAAAGAAAAATTGAAGTGTCAGATGTGTTTTAGTATGTATGCCTATCTGATTAAAAAAAAACTTTGTCACATCAGGACAATAAAAGATTTTGGGTAGGCAGCTATTTTCTGGGTAGGTAGGGTTAGGGCAAACGAACATATTCTTTTTTATGGCCTTGTTTGTGAGTACTGAAACTTTCCTTCCTACTACATGTACTACAGTCTTAAAATCAAAAGAGAGCTTTACAAAAAATTTTCAGATATTGAAATACTGATATACTATTGGGAACAACCAAGGGCTGATATTTAAAAAAAAAATGTTAACAACTTTACAAATTCAGTGAATAAAAAGTAGTCATTATTCAATCCATAATATAAAACTGCATTTTAAGGCCCTTTTCTGAGTTTTCAAGGTTTGACAAAAAAAAGTAAATTGTTACACCCACTGTTATAGCTGGTCTACTTCAACAAGTAACAGACAAATTGGCACATCCATTGTAATAGCTGTTTTATCTTAACATAACATGCCCAGGGAAACTCCTTTTTAAATAAGGAATTCAACATCCCGTTCATAATGTTGACTGGTGTCTGATACAACCAAATTTACAGCAATTACAAGTACTTTCCCTACCTACATGCTTAATGGAACAGCCTTATGAATATTCATGATTAACAATAATAAGCAAAATATTTGAACATATGTATGAGATGGACGACGCTTTATCCTAGCTAGTTGCTTCATGGTGGCATATCTGGCACACATTCTAATACTGTATCTACTCTCGCTATCTTTTCCACTACAACTTTTTCCATTTCCTTTATTACGACTGGTTGACACGAAATCACTTCCTTCTTTAAAATTTGGCGACCCACCAAATTATTCCCATTTTCTTTTGCAACTGAACCCAATCCTGGTAAGGTATTTAACTTTGATGTGGTTGTTTGAACTTTTTGCCTCCTTTTGTGGTCCCCATTTAATTTGTGACTGATGTCTTTGCAATGTGAACACGGATTTAAATGCGTCTCTTTTGCCACAGTTGCCTCTTTTTCAACACCATACCAGACTTGGCAACTATCTGACTGACAACGTTTGAATGGATACTTGAAAAATATAATATCTGATCGTCGACGGCAACTTCGGATATATCTTTTCTCAATTCCTTGACAAAATGAATATTTTGTAATCTTCTCAAGAATTTCTATGAAACAATCTATATTTATTCCGTCTTTTTCATCATTTAGAATGCTGAACTCTTCAACAGGTTTGAAAACAATGCTCAAGGTAATTTTACCCTTCATTGTCAATGTCAATGTCAATGGGTCAAGGTCATGACCCAGAACACCAAAATATTGTTTATTTCTGATCACCAGACATTTTCTCTTTTTTCCAGTAGAAACTACCTACAAAACAAAAAGAAAACAAAATTCTATAAACATGACCTACATTTAAAAAGTAGGCCAAATTACTTCTTGCTTCACAAGCACCTTTTATAAGTACTTTCCTTTATACTTAAGTTACAATTTTACAAATTTTTAATCAGAAAGTATGAAAAATATTGTAAATTATACTGTTCTATAGAATTAGCAAATCAATCTGTGGCTTTGTCCAATCTCAAAGGAATTAATTTCTAAATGATTTTTTATTTACTTTTGTGATTTTTTTATTTTACTTTTGTGATTTTTTTATTTTACTTTTGTGATTTTTTCATTAATAGTTTTCTTTATCAAGTTTAAAGTTTACTATCCTTCAAATTAATTTTTTTATCAAATTTATATTCTGTATTAATTTCTATAAGCAATTCATGGACAAAGACGATCAGGCAAGAATTGCAATAACAATGTTTTTAAAAGAAACCTTAATACAAATAACTTTTAAAAATATATCAATCTTAAAACATCAAGTTCTCCCCCATACACATATATGAAGGTCTGGATGGGAGGTCCTTCATGTCTATATTCCTTTAATTTGTAATTCGTTTTTCTTTTTTCTTTCTATTCTTTGCCCATTAATCTCTATTGGTTATTTTGTTTGACCCATTTTTCTCTGTTCTTTCTTTTTTTGGTCCATTTCAGTATTGGTCTATCATAACCCTATCCAGCCCTCATACATGAAAACGTATCAAAAATAGCGACAAAAAAGAATCCAAATTTTATATTTCTTTCAAAATGAAGTACTATAAATTACCATAATGAATTTGTTTCATTTGTTAATTATGGAATTTTTAAATATTTATTCCTGTGTAGAATAAGCATGCAATAAATGTGTACAATATCTTAATCTGAAGCAGTCTGAATATATACCTTCGAATCAAGAACTTTGTACTGTGGTGATCTCAAAATGCCTAATGCCTCTTGGATAATTCTCTTTTTCGAGTTTTCTTCCCCGGATTGCAACAAACAATGTCCTGTGTTCATGCTGGGTGAATACTCAAGTGCAGCATTTTCAACGAAGGCACATTGCGTCCAAACAGACTTCCTAGTAGGAGGCATGGGGCCAAGGACTGTAAACAGGTCTGACTTTCCCGCCTCTTCCATTTTGCCGTTGAGATAGTTCCACAAGAACATATTACACTGAGTTTGAACTGTACGTCTGCTGTAATTGTCAGATACTGGAAAATATCCAAACGCAGTAGCACATGTAGACTCGACCACAAAGTGTTCAAAATAATCACGTTAAAACACAATCGTATATTAAAAAAATATACGTAAGTAAGTCATGCAGAATTTCAGTAATATTTCACATTACAGCAATTGCAACATTTTTTCATATAACTATTTTTTATAACACCTAAAATCCGAGGTTTTATAAATTCTAAAATTAAGGATGTTCGCTCCTCTATTTCAAAAGAACAAGCTTTTTAAAATACTGTAATGTATTGATAGTATATAAATAACAGAACTTAAAAAGCATAAAAAATTGATAGTTCTGTCTCCTTGATTTCGAAATATAATCAATTGAAAATTTGGCGGGAAATGATTCTCTCTAGATATGTCATACTATTAACATTGGCACCTTTTATCTTTCAAAAATTTTGAAAGAATTTCAAAAATGGCTTTTTGTTAAAGTATATGTAACAAAATTATGAAGAGAAAAGCGGGATGTTATCGGACAAAATTTTTAATGACACTACATGGATAAAACAAGAGGATTCCGAATATCTGACATAGTCATAAACAGGAATATTGAACATCCTTAACGATGGATTACAATGATATACTAGGCTTCATTAGAAGTTACCATGTACATAGGTTTACTAGGTTCTTTAATCATTACACTAAAACTATGGACATAAAGGTAATGTGAAAATACCAGATGAAGAGAAAATTTTTTTATTGATGTCAGGATTTATTCAAATTTCTTTGGTCAAAGTTTTATTTATAACAAAGTACATAGTCATTTTATCTGATTCGAGGGCTATAGTACAACTTATCGCTATTTGTCTACCATTAATAGACCTTACAAAGGTTCCCCGTAAACTTTTGACGTCACAATAGAATATGTCTGATGCCACAAAGGAAATCTGAACATTGTATGATGTCAATAGTTCAAGTGTCTGACTGTCGCAGATTCCCAAAGAGTGATAAGGTCTATATCAAAATGGATGGAAGAGAGTAGAAAGGGACTCCCATAACACCCCCACAACCAACAGACTTTAGAGTAATTTTGCATACATCATATGGACATCCAAAATCAAATAACTTACAACCCTAGGTAGTTAAAACTTTCAATCCTACCCTCCCACATGCATTTTACGGAACAGCCCCAAAAAAGGGTTTTTAATCAAGGCCTTTTTAACAGAAGATGTGCTTGTGCTGTTAATGCTCTGTGAAAAAAGACTTACAATGTTGTGATTCTTCTGACGTTCGTTGTGTTGACGGCTCTTTTTCCATCTTGGAAAGTTCTATTGTCAGTTGTCGGTCCAGTATATCTGGTCGCAGTTCTGGGGTACCTGTAATTAATTGGTGTAATATGATGTCTATTTTTTTCTAATCAGGTACCATTTGTGTTAGGCTTTTTCTTTGCATTTTATGAAATGTGCATCTGATCAAGATTAAGAGAGTCAAACAATGAGTTGAAAAAAAAGTTTTTTTTTTGTTTCAAACATTCACATGGAATGGATATTGATTAATTATTCACTATTAGTAGTCAGTTTGGTTCAATTTTTGTCATAATAAGCCCCAAAACTTTATCAATACATTATTGACATGCAAAATAGAAATTAACCTTATTCATGTCATTTAGGTCAATATGCATGTGACCTACGATGTGACCTCAGTTGGAGATGATTGAGCATGTCATTAGCAGGCTCAGTTATTTAAAAGAATGTCAGTTTTTAAAAGAAGTGAAGACCGATTTACGTTGACTGAAATGACGCACAAATAAAATATAAATTAAAGATAAATAGATGATGAATTGGTGTTTCTTCCAATGGTAATATTACATGCATATAAGGAAAAGAACCAAGACCGTACCCAGATGTTTAATATGCTACTATATAAGAAGATATTGTTGTTGGTTGCTGTCTGTTATATCTGTTTTTTGTAAATTGTTTTATCATAAATCAAGGCTCTGTTTTTTCATGGGAATACTTTCACATTTTGTCAAAAAGAGGATTTTTATCACTAACTAGTATATATCATGGTATTATTTTTGCTCGATGTTGAAGGCAGAATGGTGAACTATAATTGCTTAATTCAACTTCATTTCTAATCTGTTGTATAGTTGTCTCATTGGCAATCATACGAATCCTCATTTTGATACCTCATTCCTCCTTTTGATACCTGTTCTTCCTTGATCATATAAATTCTTATTCGGACTGACCAATAATTGCTCTTATGCCTAAATAATTTAATTTGGGATGTAACACGTCTTCTGATTGGCTGATGTTGTTTTGTTTATTAGCTCATAGATATAATTTTGTCAAGTGACTGTGACGTCATCAATGTTTTTTCATGGTTTACTCCGGTTTAAAATGGAATTTAGAATTAAATTATAAGAAATGACTGTAATATTTTTTCTGTCTATTCGAAATAACATAAAAAATGTGGTGCACACTTTAAAATAACCCGCGTAGCGTGTTATTCAGTGTGCACCACATTTTTGATGTTATTTCTTCTTAGACAGAAAAAATATTACAGTTATTACTTAAATTCCTTAAATGCAAAGAGCTTAGTAAGCAGCAAATACCAATTAAAATCTTTGGATTGACCCTGGCCTGAAACCTTAACCTGCACTCAAGACAAGCAGGCCACCAAAAAGCCACAAAGGTGGTCAACACAGGTTAAAAACAACAACTCTATGCTTCTGTGCTTTGGCTGGGTTGTTGTCTCTTTAACACATTCCCCATTTCCATTCTCAATTTTATTGATTACTTACAGACAGGAGACGGACTGGATCCTATACTAACAACATCAGTTTCTGTGAAAAAAATATTGTTAATATAAACATTTGACATGATTACTCAATTTCTACACACCCATACTTAATCCTTTATTACATTTTAAGTTGCAGGATGCCACACCAGTACTTGTGTATTCAATAAAAAAAAAAAAAAAAAAAACGGTTTAAAAAAAAAATAAAAAATTAATAAATAAAATAAATCAAAGCACTGTAAGCGCTGTAGGCAGTTAACCAAAAACCAAGCCAAACGTAATTATGAAAACTGTGGCAATGTTGCTTCAATTTTCTTTTAAGATTTGAAAGAACAAACATTAAACATTCGTATATTGTACATTTATGTTCATTAAATGAATTGATTATTAAGGCAAATTAATTAATATTTCATCAAGGTTTTCAAAAGCAACTCATATATCAATGTAAATGACCCCCATCTTCACCCCCAAGTGCATGATGTTACTCCATACCAAGTTTGGAATAAAATGACAGGTGATTATAAAACAGTAGGTCAAACATTCTCGGGCTTTACACTGCTTGAAAGATTTATATGTTTTCTTTAAAATGAGCCATAAATGAAAATTATTATAGGCCCAGAAATAATTTAATAAACAATTAAAGTAAATTCAATAATCTAGACTCATTTTTTGGATCAATTTTTTTTTATAATAAACAAAATATTTTGTAACAGGATGCCGTTACGAAGTCTCCCAAACAAAGCCCCCATAATTCGTCATTCCCATGGTCTCCTGACATTGGGCAAAGTCCAGTTCATATTGGTTTGGTCTAGTAAAGTGATATGCATATGTGACACCAAGGAGATTGACCCTGTATGTCATTCAAATCTTTTTGAAATGATGAACAGGAATAAATATAGTTTAGGTGTGGGTATCTCGACCGTTTACAAGTTCTCAAACAGGAGGGGGTGGGGTGACCCCAGGGACTCCCCCTATATTTCATTTGATTTGTTATATTGTCCCATACATGAATACATATGGTTTAGGGGTGGGGATCTCGACCATTTCCAAGTTCTCAAACAGGAGGGGGTGGGGTGACCCCAGGGACTCCCCCTATATTTCATTTGATTTGTTATATTGTCCCATACATGAATACATATGGTTTAGGGGTGGGGATCTCGACAATTTCCAAGTTCTCAAACAGGAGGGGTGGGGTGACCCCAGAGACTCCCCAAATATTTCATTTGATTTGTTATATTGTCCCATACATGAATATATATGGTTAAGGGTGGGGATCTTGACTGTTTACAAGTTCTCAAACAAGAGGGGGTGGGGTGTCCCCATGGACTCCCCCTATATTTCATTTGATTTGTTGTATTGTCCCATACATGAATGTATATGGTTTAGGGGTGGGGATCTCAACCATTTCCAAGTTCTCAAACAGGAGGGGTTGGGGTGACCCAAGGGACTCCCCATATATTTCATTTGATTTGTTATATTGTCCCATACATGAATATATACGGTTTAGGGGTGGGGATCTCGACCGTTTACAAGTTCTCAAACAGGAGGGGGTGGGGTGACCCTAGGGACTCACTCTATATTTCATTTTTGATTTGTTTTATTGTCCCATACATGAATATATATGGTTTAGGGGTGGGGATCTTGACCATTTCCAAGTTCTCAAACAGGAGGGGGTGGGGTGACCCCAGGGACTCCCCCTATATTTCATTTGATTTGTTATATTGTCCCATACATGAATACATATGGTTTAGGGATGGGGATCTCGACAATTTCCAAGTTCTCAAACAGGAGGGGGTGGGGTGACCCCAGGGACTCCCCAAATATTTCATTTGATTTGTTATATTGTCCCATACATGAATATATATGGTTTAGGGGTGGGGATCTTGACTGTTTACAAGTTCTCAAACAAGAGGGGGTGGGGTGTCCCTAGGGACTCCCCCTATATTTCATTTGATTTGTTTTATTGTCCCATACATGAATGTATATGGTTTAGGGGTGGGGATCTCAACCATTTCCAAGTTCTCAAACAGGAGGGGGTGGGTTGACCCCAGGGACTCACTCCATATTTCATTTTTGATTTGTTTTATTGTCCCATACATGAATATATATGGTTTAGGGTTGGGGATCTCGACCATTTCCAAGTTCTCAAACAGGAGGGGGTGGGGTGACCCGAGGAACTCCCCATACATTTCATTTGATTTGTTATATTGTCCCATACATGAATATATATGGTTTAGGGGTGGGGATCTTGACTGTTTACAAGTTCTCAAACAGGAGGGGCGGGGGTGTCCCTAGGGACTCACCCTATATTTCATTTGATTTGTTTTATTGTCCCATACATGAATGTATATGGTTTAGGGGTGGGGATCTCAACCATTTCCAAGTTCTCAAACAGGAGGGGGTGGGTTGACCACAGGGACTCACTCTATATTTCATTTTTTATTTGTTTTATTGTCCCATACATGAATATATATGGTTTAGGGGTGGGGATCTTGACCATTTCCAAGTTCTCAAACAGGAGGGGGTGGGACGACACTGGGGACTCCCCCAAATTATTTTCATTTGATTTCTTTAATTGTCCCATTCAAGTATATATATTGTTTAGGGGTGGGGATCGCGACGGTTTACAAGATAAAAGTACATTTTCAAATTAAAGGGGGTTGGGATGACCCCCAGGGACTCACCCTATATTTTGGTTGATTTTTTGTATTGTCCTGTTCTCATTACTGAAGACTGCATGTGTCTATCACCTACTGTTTTCGAGAAATAGTCATTTGAAAATTAAAAAAAATAAAATCCCATAGGGTTCTATTGTAAACCCCTCCCTTCTTCAGGCCCCTCCAAATACCCCTAAATAGACCCCAATGCACAAACAAAAGATAAATGGCTCCGCTAGACATGTTAGTCTAATATTTTATGAAACCCTAAGTAAATCTGACAAACGGTCAAAGTTGTCTTCTTAGACGGTTTGAGTGGATTTGGTCCGACTTGTCTCGGGAACGAGTTGTCCACATTACTTAAAACATCCCATCAACGTCGATTTCCACATCTGTTTTCGTGACCTCGTTTCATTCATAAAATAACAACAACCTTATTTGGCAAGATAAGTTAGAAATTACCACCCACTTATATAACTTTATTTCCTCTATCATAGAGATTTGTTGTATATGAACAATATTCCTGCGCATTTTGCCATTTGGGAAATATAAACGACTTGTAATTACCGATTTTCCGCGATGAAATATTTCATACAATTGTTCTTTGACATCGTAGCCAAAAGTACAGGGGATAATAAACTACGTACGGATTTCTATTGAGCACTACTTCCTATGTGCAACTTCAAAAGTTTTGGGTAGTTCGACGATCATTTAAGGTTTTTCTGGTCATATTTTTTGTATTCCAGAAATAAAAGTATTAAAAAAATGTCCAATTAGTTATAAATAACATAATAGCCAGCTAGATAATAACAATGGCACGTATTTCAGCATTTATTGGGTAGAACACAAATCTAGGGTGCTCGCATAAGGCAGCTTAACTGCCTAAAAACGTCTCGAACATATACAATAATGAATAAAAAAAAAGAAATTTATAAAAAAAACAACATCTATAGTTGTGTATAATACGCATCCTCTCTTCCAACTACATTTTTGGGGTAAAAATGCATACTATACACACCTAAAGACGGTAGTTAGGAATAAATATTTTTTCTTCTTCTTTATTTTCGAAAAATACAAGTTTTCTAATATAACAAAAAATAGATTTACGCGACAATTATTTTTCGATTGGGGTAAATAACCCACACGATAGTGATGAAGGGTTGAGAATGCTTAGTTTTGACATATAATTGGGTTTTCCTTTGCATGAATTGGGTTTTCAATTGTTTTTTTTATTGCATAATCACACTAATATGCAGCCTATCTGGAGCTCTGCAATACATCATCCTGTTGCTGTATATCATATTTGTTTTTCTTTTAACAGTGGCGGATCCAGAAATTTTCATGAGAGGGGGCCCACTGACTGCTTAAGAGGGGGCCTGCTCCAGTCATGCTTCAGTGATTCCCTATATAATCAACCAAATATTTTCCACAAAAGGGGGGGGGGGGGCCCGGGCCCCCTGAAAAACACTCTAAATCCGCCTCAGTTTAATGTATTATATATAAATCTGACCACTATTTTTCTCGTTTTTCATTTGTCATTTCGGTTCCTTATATAGCTTGCTGTGGTATGGGTTCTGCTGAGTGTTGACTGCTGTATGGTGACCTATATTTGCTAACTTTTATGTCATCTGATCTCTGCTTGAGTTGTCTCATTGGCAATCAAATCACATTGTCTTATTTTATATCAATATTTGTTCAGCAGGTTAAGTACACGATTTTTTCTCTATTTAACCAGCAAATTTGCATTGGTTAATTTTATTATTCCCTTGAAATGAATAAATTTGTTAATATTTCAAATTCTTACACAGGCATACCTCTACTATTTTTGAGCTGAGTAGATGTACTAGGGATAGCTAAAGTACTTTTATTGGCATTCAAATCTATGGTCCTCTCACTAACAGCTGAAATAAAAAGAGTGGAATTAGTGGTATTTAGAGTATCAATTTATAAAAGATTTCTTTTTTATTCATCCATTATAATTTTTGTTAATTAATAAAAGAACAGAGTTCCAATGTCCCCCGCGTTACACATATTTGATCTATCCAAGGGCAATAACCAGGGCTTCAGAGAGATAAAATATTCATGCAAACTCATGGCTTCATGACCTCCAATACTGTTTACTGATAATAGATAACTATCGCTGTAAACGCAAGGAAACAAGTGATTACTTCAGGGAACCAGTTTCTAAACTAGATTTTGTCCAATAACCGACTTTGTCAAACAAGAAAATGACACACCAGAAAGTACCATGTAAAGACGATTTACTTACCCGAAACTGGTACCTGCGCTTTCGTTTACCAAACGATTTTTTCTACTTTCCCCGGGAAATGGGAAATGGGAATTCTGAAGCCCTGAATAACTAAAACAAACTTCTTTTTTTTGTTCTTTAAAACTTTTTACAAATATCTTATTAAAGAGGAATGAAGGCTTGAGAGCAAATACAATGTAATTTCCAAGGGGCACAAATCTTCTAAAAATATTTGATTGTCGCTGATTTTCAAACTTGTCCGAGACATTGATGATATAAACATAATAATAACAAATATATATGAAAATGAGTACAAGGTCAGATATGTAACCTGCAAGCAGGACATGTACACCTTACAATCATCTATACACTAAATATAGTTGACCTACTGCTTATAGTATCCGAGATACAGACTTGACTTTAAAAAATATTTGGATCTTAAAATTTTAATAACATTTTTTGTCCATTGTACAAAAATCACAATAATTCAAATGCATGCACAAAATCATGTGTCCTAGCTTTGCTTACAATTGCAAAGATCTGACAAAAATTTGTTCCACTTCCTATTCTAGTAATTATTACATCAGTTAATGACGTTCTCCCTCAAAATTTTAATGGTGTTTATCATTACAACAATACCAGAAGATCACGAAAGGCCTTTAAAATAGAAAACAGAACGTAGAGATGTCAGATCCTTGTAAACTAAATGTTGACACAGGCTCTGTATTTCAATTACAACCAATTACTGTGGATTCATTATTATTCATGAAATATCAATTTTAGCGCATTTCGCAGTAACAAGTTTACAAAGTTCAATATTCCATAAGTACATATTATCTAAAGAATTATATCCAGACTTTGGCAAAACCACAAAATCAAGTATCAATGATAAATACAATTGTTCCTCAATCCACGAATTTTGGTACCCACGAAAATAAATGAATCCACTGTAGACGGTATAAAACCAAACCTGTCATTAGTTTTGGTGGTCCTGTTACAAAGTCCAGGCTAGAACTACTAGCTGTTGACATGACAACCATATCACTGGTCCTGACTGGCTGCAGATGTGTGCTTGGCAACGTCAAGTTTGGATTTGGTTTCACAAGAATATGATCAAGCCGAGGGCGTGGTGTCGAGGTTGGTGTTTGTATAAGGGACTGGACAGGCATTCTAACACCTGGACTCTGATTGGTCATGGATGAACCGCTAACCATCAGACGAGAGACTAACTTGCTACGAATACCCTGTGGGTCCTGTGCAAGACCAGGACCCATTGTTGTGGTGCTGACTGGTTGAGACTGCTGAATAGGACTAGGGGTACCAGTAACAACAGAGGGTGATGATGGCTGGGTACTTGGTATAGACATTCTCAGTGCTGCAGCAATGCTTGTTATGTTCTTGTTCAACTACAAAGATAATCATTATCATGTCACTCAAATACTGTAATTTCAGAAATTATTGCGTGCATTTATTATTTGAAGAATAGACAAAAATGCAAGATCAGTTGTTGCATTTTTGGGAAAATCTCCATACAGATATATGTATAGGATATCAGAATGTGAGTTCTTATTATTGCAATACTCACCTAGTCGCATTATTCGCACTTATAAAAATCTCGCAATAATTTCTGAATTTACAGTAGATAAGAATAGAGGCAGAGATTAAAACAAGATATTAAATATTGTGTAAAGACATTTGTTACTGGAATAACCTTCACCTCATCGGCAGTCTTCAGGCTTAACCATTTGCTGATCAACCCAGGCTTGTAAAATTGCTTATGGGCCTATAAAAATCAGGTCTTCAGGCCATTAAAGGAATTTAACTAATATTGGTAATATTGAGCCTTGGGCTTTTGGATTCAAAAGTTTAAAATAAGGACTGTGACATCGCATATGCCAAACTATAAACAACAAAAGTGATAAAGATCAAGATTACATTTAACAAGTGTCATGAAAAACTGCACAAGTGATAAAAATCAAGATTACATTTAACAAGCGTCATAACAAACTACACAAGTGATAAAGATCAAGATTACATTTAACAAGTGTCACGACAAACAACACAAGTGATAAAGATCAAGATTACATTTAACAAGTGTCATGAAAAACTGCACAAGTGATAAAAATCAAGATTACATTTAACAAGCGTCATAACAAACTACACAAGTGATAAAGATCAAGATTACATTTAACAAGTGTCATGACAAACAACACAAGTGATAAAGATCAAGATTACATTTAACAAGTGTCATGACAAACAACACAAGTGATAAAGATCAAGATTACATTTAACAAGTGTCATGACAAAATACACAAGTGATAAAGATCAAGATTACATTTAACAAATATTATGACAAACTACACAAGGATATCATCTTTTAACAATTAATATGCTGAAAATCACATGCTGAGGAAAGGTCAAAAACAAGATTTTAGCCATAAATACTATTTGCAAAGTTAAACATAAAATAGTGTATGTTGTAAAATGAAAGATGGAGAAGAACTCTATACATCTTTACAAACGGCGGTGAAAAATATTGAACAGAGAAAACACAGAAACAAAACCCCCAATTATTACATACCTGAGGAACAGGTGGCAAACATTCTGATACTTGGGGTGTAGCTACCATTCGACCTTGCTGAACTTCCGTTTGAATGACAGTCTTAGGTACAGTTTTATCTGTAATCTTCTGTTGTGCCTCTTGTAGTTTAGCCTGACTGATTTGTTCAAGGACTGGTAAGGGAATGGACCCTGTGCTGGTACTCATCTGCTTTGCAAGTTGAATGGCTGCTGCTGGGTTGCTTGCGAAAAGATTTCCCAGGTTTATCAAGTTTGGAACACCTTGCTGTGCTTGCTGCGCTTGCTGTGCTTGCTTCTGCAACTCTTGCTGTAGTAGTTGCACTGGGATCGTAACTTTTTCTTCTGCTGTCGTTTCTTTCTGAAGTGAGGCTGCCACAGACATTGGTACCGTTATGAAATGTTCCCCGTATTTCAGGGTCGAGGTGATTGTTTGAGTCTGTGGGACTGCCATAACACTTTGACCCTGACCGGGAAGGCTCATTAGCATTTTTGAAGAAGGAATTAAGATTTCAGATCTCCCAGTTGGTGTGGTTGGAGCAGATGGAGAATCTGTCTTCCGCAGTTGAACCAGAGTTAGTTTCCCCGTCTTCTGGTCCACTGCTGTGACATACGGGATTCCGGATGTAGGATCAATGGCTGTTATATAGGGCATTTTTTGTACCCCTGAAAAAATAAATCAACTGACCGATTATTGTAAACTAGTATTGTGATTGAACTCATAAAATGATACCAACTGCCCCACAATATTATTTATCTTGTTTATATAAAACCCTTCCCTCCAATCATTAACTTTCTGTCAAAGTATTGGGTTTTAGACAAGGTAATATGACAACATTCACACATTTGATGTGAATTTGATAAAGGACTTTCAGATTTGAATTTTCCTTGGAGTTCTATTTTTGCTATTGTACTTTTTATCTGTCAGTATGTTTAGCAAAGGATAAATAACTTAATTGGAACAATTTTCATAGTGCTACTTGGATAAATGTGGTAAATGATATAACTGATATATTGATGCTGGTCAAGTTTAAGAATGTACATAATATTTTGTCCCAGGTTAGAGTTGTCTTTTTGACACTGTTCCTACATCTTTTTTAATTAATATTGTATTTATATCGTGTCATAGATCAAACTTATTCCTTCAGTGTATGTTTACTTGTTTATGTTTAAATGTTTTTGATCGAGTTAAGCCATTTCAATTGATATTTTATAGTGTGTCTTTTTATGTTGTAATGTTACACTACTGTTTCAGATTAGGGCGAAGGTTGGCGCCTGTTAAAACGTTTAAACCCGCTGCATTTTTATGCACCTGTCCTAAGTCAGGAGCCTGTTGTTCAGTGGTTGTGGTTTGTTGGTGTGGTTCATAAGTGTTTCTCATTTATTATATAGATTAGACCGTTGGTTTTCCTGTTTGAATTGTTTTACACTATTCATTTTGGGGCCCTTTATAGCTTGCTGTTCGGTGTTGAAGGCCGTACTTTGACCTATAATTGTTAATTTTTCATACATTGTGACTTGGTTGGAGAGTTGTCTCATTGGCACTCATACCACATCATCTTATTCATATAAGAACAAACATTCTGTGAGTATTGCATGGCAATACATAGTCCCCTACCGGTTAAAAATTCATTGAAATGGAACACATTCTAACTTGATCTAGAACTTGTCATGGTGTAAACTGCATAAAAATATCAAGTCAAAATCTTCAAGCATGACGAAAAAAACTGTTGAAAACTGATTATTTAAGTGAATTTTCTATGTCCAAAGACCATAACTCTGCACAAAATCAATAGAACGGAACAAAATTCCAACTTGATCTGTAACTTGTCATGATAAAACTATATACTAATTATCAAATCAATATCTTCAACAATGACAAACAAACCTATCACTAAATTCTTCAAACAATTTACCAAAGAAAACGAAAAAAATCCAAAATGTCATTTTGTCTTTTAAAAAATAAGTTATTTCCCTTTGAACAGAAATCTACTAATTAATAAGTATTTCATCAAAAATTTAATTCTAGGGAAAGGGCTTTAACTGAACAAAGAGAAAAGCTAAAATCGTGAAAATTGAACTTGACCTGTAACTTGTCATGATAAAACAATAAACCAAATATCAAATCAATATCTTCAAGCACAAAGAAAAAAACTGATTTGTCGTACTGACAGATGGACAGACAGACAGACAGACGGACGGAGTGCAAACCTAAAGTCCCCTTCGACTTCATCGGTAGGGGACTAATAAAGATGAATGCATGAAAAATGTCAAGCAGGCACAATGATCTTGTCAGTTCATAAAAGCAGGGTTTCAGTTTTAGTTTGCCCGACTTCAGAAATCAGTGAAAGAGTTGATATTTATTGTTTGGTTGTTGTCGGAATGCCTTTGCATTAATTGATATGTAAGGCACACAAAAAATTATACTTGTTTTCTAAAATTTTACTGGCAGAGAAAAACAGGGAAGGTAGGAATAATAATTTTATTATCTACAATATTTTACATCGAAGGGAAATGTCATGAACTTTTAACAGTGCTTAATCAAAAGTTTCAATTTAGGCATGAAAAATTAAAGGTAGGTAGGGAGGCAAGAAACAGAAATATATTTTTTGGCCTTACTTTTTGGGTTGAAATTATTATTCATAGATTTTGACAAAGGTCCCAAACCTTCACTGTCAGATATATTTCAACACATATCCCTTCTGATTGATTGTTTTACTATTTTCCTGTGTTTGGCTTCCACCTGAAATTTTTTTGGTTGAATTTATAATTCATAGATTTTGACATGGTCCCAAACTTTCACTAAAGGTTTTCAGCCTATCCAATCCGATTTGATTGTTTTGCTATTACCCTATGTTTTGGTGCCCACCTGATATTGTATCACTTCCAGGGGTTGATGCTGGTGATGGCCTCCCACTGCAGATTACAACAGTTGCTTCTGTTTCTACTGGAGCATCATCTCTACTGTCTTTCTTTGCTCTTTTACTTCTGGTCTGAGTTGTTCCCCCTGAAGAACCTCTCTTCTGGGGAGTCTTTGACATATCCTGTTAGATTATAAATCTTAATAAATCATTACAGTACTTGTGTTTCATTTGAAACTATTATGTTTGAATAATTCTCCGTTTCAGAATCTGATGCATTCTGGGTTATATTTTCAAAGTGTACACCAAAACGTTGTCATTGACTGACAACATCCTTAAAAATGGAAATTCAATCAATGACGTAACATTATTTTCATTTTGGTGTCTGAACAATTTAGATTCTTAAAAGGCAAACTACTTTGCATCTTAATTTCCTTCTGTTGATCATACTAAAGCATTAATAAATTAAAGAACCTTAGTGAGCGCGTTCACATACCCCACGTCCCCACATTGTCATTGGAGAAATAAAATAAGTGTAAGAAAAAAAAATTGTATCAGAAAAAAAAAATTTAATCATAATTTCCTGTCAATATGCACATCTACATAGTATGTCCTTATCTACACAGTTTCATGAAATTCTGTTGTGTGGTTTGAGAGGAGTTGCGATGACAAAAGGTTGCAGTAGTATATTGGGCAAATAAGTTCAAAGGGGCGCAACTCCTGGAAAAAATATTGAATCATAATTTCCTGTTGATATGCACATCTACGTAGTATGTCCTTATTATCTGAAAAGGTTTCATGAAATTCTGTTGTGTGGTTTGAGAGGAGTTGCGATGACAAACTGTTGCAGTAGTACATTAAAGTAAATAAGTTCAAAGGGGCGCAACTCCTAGAAAAAGAATTGAATCGTAATTTCCCGTCGATATGCACAACTACATAGTATGTCCTTATCATCTAAAAAGGTTCTGTGAAATTCTGTTGTGTGGTTTGAGAGGAGTTGCCATGACAAGAAACAGGACTGACGGGTCAAAAACATCATACCCTCCGCAACTCGTTGCGTGGGGTATAATAATAGACTTAACAAATATATATATATTCACGGTTGACCACAAGCTCACCAGGCCAGTGTTGTAAAAATTTCAACTACAGGCATATAAAATCTAAACAGAAATTTCACCAAAATGAGTGTTGGGCCTGTGGCTGCAGAAGTGTATCATGGAGACTGTATTATGTATACTTTGTATCATGGAGACTGTATACTTAACAAAAAAAGAAATGCACCACCTCCATTAATTTCTTTTGCATACAACAATTTTGAAAGTGCTTGAAATGAGTCAAAATTTTAACACAACATTTCAGAAGTCATAAACAAATAAATCGGTGAAAATTAGAATTTTTGACATCTCAAAAAAACACAATGATATAAAAAAAAAAAAAAGTTGCCAACTTGTGAAAACTCAATTCATGTGCATGATGTGTATCTTTTCATAAGAAAACAACAAAATATTTCTGTAAATTTTAGTTTCTAAAACGAATTCTCGTCTAATGACCAATTTGAAACTGACTCAAGACTTTCAATTTTTGACTTTTGTGGTTTAAATTTCCATTGTTGCTGAAAATTGTAATTTAAATTACACTGTAAACTCTGCAGTAATTTTAGGTTATGTTTTAAATATACTAGATTTCTAAAAGTTTGTAGCAGAAACAAGAAATTGTGAAACTTCTTTTGTAGACGAAACGTGCGTCTGGCACAAATACTAAATTTCAATCCTGGTCTCCATGATGAGTTTATTCTATACATGGTAGAATGTGATGCGTTATTCACATTGCTAGGTGTATATATATATATATATATATATATATAGATTGCCTAACAATGTAATTTTAACACACTATTTAGTATGTAAATATAAGAATGTATAAAATATTTACAAAATGATGAAAATAAACGCAATATTTCGCTAGACTAACTAGCTTTATCAAGCGTGCATCTATCCAGGTGAAATCGGATGTAGATGATAAGAAACTTTTGCAGCTCAATGTATATGTTGCACTTGAATTTAGCTGCCTTGAAAATAATACATAATTTGGATGAAGTTCAAGATTTTTACAAAATTGGTAGTTGAAGTTAGCAACGTCCATTGGCCAATATTACAGGATAAAAAGGACGATGCTGTGTACTAAATTATTCTTTATCTTTCCTGTATCTTTTCTCATCTTTTTCGTTAAGACCATCAGGTTCTAAAATGTGGAGTTGGTGGATCCAAAAATTTTCTCTTCTCCTTCTCGCCGTGGTGTCCCACTCGGTGTTGACTTCTATGATTTGGAAGGTAACATTATCAAAAGAATGTTTCGTTGAACGAAGATGTCTTTTGAGAGGACAGTTTTTGTTGGTTTTGTACCATGAACGATGGTTATTGAGCCGAATATTAAATTTGTCCATTGTTTCTCCCACATACTGAATGCCACATGTGTCACATGTTAATATATAAATTGAGTTCTCCGTTTTACAGTTGGAATTTGAGTAGATGGTATAATTTTGTTTAGTAACGGAGCTGATGAAAGAACTGCTTGTATTGGCAGCTTTACAACACAAGCAGTTCCTTCATCCAAATTATGTATTATTTTCAAGGCAGCTAAATTCAAGTGCAACATATACATTGAGCTGCAAAAGTTTCTTATCATCTACATCCGATTTCACCTGGATAGATGCACGCTTGATAAAGCTAGTTAGTCTAGCGAAATATTGCGTTTATTTTCATCATTTTGTAAATATTTTATACATTCTTATATTTACATACTAAATAGTGTGTTAAAATTACATTGTTAGGCAATCTATAATTTTATTTGTGTAATTGAATTAATCTCTGTACTGATTAATCCACACTCCCATAGATTTGTATGTCATGTGCTGCTATTTATAGGCACTTATATATATATATATATATACAACAGATGGAGTCATTTATTTTCATAGAAAACAGAAAAATTTAATTTTGTGGATATTTGATTTTGTGGTTTTGCCAGTCCCTTAACATTTAAATTCGCTGTTTACCTATGCACAAGAAATTCACAAAAATTTGTTTTCCACAATTTATTAATGAATCCATATAGTATGCACTGTTTTAAATTCCATTGCTATACAAATGTTACCAGACAAAATTCAAATTCTTCTGTGGTACATGTATATTGATATTGAATGGAAAAATATAAATTCTGTGTCAAAATACATGTATAACCAGATGCTCCGCAGGGCGCAGCTTGATACGATCGCAGAGGTCGAACCCTGAACAGTTGGGGCAAGTATGGACACAACATTCACGCTTGATACAGCTCTGAATTTGGATTGTGATTAAATAGTTGACACAGAATAGGTTCTGACACAGAATGAATGTGGTCTAAGAACTTAAAAAAATTTAAATTGGACATTTACCTATTATGGTCCAATATCCAAAATCTAAATACATGGTTAGATTCAGCATATCAAAGAACCCCAAGAATTCAATTTTTGATGAAATCAAATAAAGTTCAATTTTAGACCCTTTAGAACTCAATGTGGACCAATTTGATAAAGGGGCCCAAATATCAAAAATCTAAATACATGTTTAGATTCAGCATATCAAAGAACCCCAAGAATTCAATTTTTGTTAAAATCAAACTAAGTTTAATTTTGGACCCTTTGGACCTTAATGTACACCAATTTGAAAACAGGACCAAAAATTAAGAATCTAAATACACGGTTAGATTCGGCATATCAAAGAACCCCAAGAATTCAATTTTTGTTAAAATCAAACTAAGTTTAATTTTGGACCCTTTGGACCTTAATGTACACCAATTTGAAAACGGGACCAAAAATTAAGAATTAAAAATACACGGTTAGATTCGGCATATCAAAGAACCCCAATAATTCAATTTTTGATGAAATCAAACAAAGTTTAATTTTGGACCCTTTTGGCCCAATAATTCCTAAACTGTTAGGACCAAAACTCCCAAAATCAATCCCAACCTTCTTTTTGTGGTCATAAACCTTGTGTTTAAATTTCGTAGATTTCTATTTACTTATACTAAAGTTATTGTGCGAAAACCAAGAAAAATGCTTATTTGTGCCCCTTTTTGGCCCCTAATTCCTAAACTGTTGGGACCAAAACCCCCAAAATCAATCCCAACCTTCCTTTTGTGGTTAGGGGGCCTCGGTGGCCGAGTGGTCTAAGTAATCACTAGCCAGTCAACACTGAGGTTGTGAGTTCTAACCCCGCTCGTGCGGGTGCAGTGGACTCCAATCTTAATTGACTAGGATTGTCAGTTTTCCTATCGAAGGTCGGTGGTTTTCTCCGGCTTCCTCCACCAATAAAAACTGGCCGCCACGAAATAGCCCAAAAGCGGTGCTTAAAAGTGGCGTTAAAACACCAAAAATCAAATCAAATCCTTATGTGGTTATAAACCTTGTGTTAAAATTTTATTGATTTCTATTTACTTATACTAAAGTTATTATCCGGAAATCATCCGTCTTTGGACGACACTGATGACGTGATACCAATATACGACCAACAATTTTTAATTTTTGCGGTAGTATAAAAATATATATAGGTTTAAACATTGTATTAAGATAGTGTAAAAACCTGAGGGGTATGGTAAAAAACAACTAGTCTGAAAACAGAGGTTATCACTGAACTAGTATACATATTTGTTTAGGGGCCAGCTGAAGGACGCCTTCGGGTGCGGGAGTTTCTCGTTGCATTGAAGACCCATTGGTGGCCTTCGGCTGTTGTCTGCTCTATGGTTGGGTTGTTGTCTCTTTGACACATTCCCCATTTCCATTCTCAATTTTATGTTAATTAATTGGGGTCATCTGAAATTATGTAAAGATGGTGTTGTGGATGTGATGCTTTTATTTCTAGAAACAACAAGATCACATGAAGATGTTATAATAAAAATTCAGTTTATAATGATGCTATATGAAATATATGGCAGAACATGGGTTTTGATTGATTAATTGATTGGTGTTTAAGACCACTTTCAGCAATTTTGCGCTATTTCGTGGCGGTCCGTTTTTAATGGTGGAGGAAGCCAGAGTGCCTGGAGATAAACACTGACTTTCAGTAAGAAAACTGACAATCTTAGTCAATTATGATTGGAGTCGAACTCACAACCTCAGTGTTGACAGGCTAGTGATACAGTAGTTCGACTAATTAGACAATTTGGCCACTGAGGCTCCTTAACATGGGTTTATTATATATAATAAGTCTCATTACACTTGTCTGTTGTTGGGTTTTTAGTTCTATCGCTTTCAATAATGTCTGAATACCACCATCCACCCCTGAAGATCCTTCTCGTTCTGGTGAGCTTGGTGCTGTAGATACTGTTGGTGTAGATGATCCTGAATGAGATTCTGAAATTTATACAACACACATTTAAATATAGATTTTTTTTTACAATGACAAGCATATTGACCCTAAACATTAATATAATTCTGAGAGCCTTGAGCTTTGAGAGGGTGTGTGGTATTGAAACAAGAGGCTCTCAAGAGCCTGAATCGCTCACCTGTATTTCAGAGGAGAAGATTTTTAAATGTTAGCAAACTTGATGAACAAATTGTGTAAAATTGTCTTTAAAGGGCAATAAATCCTTAAGGGGTCAATTGACAATTTTGGTCATATTAACTTTTCTGTAGATCTTACTTTGCTGAACATTATTGCTGCTTACAGTTTATATATATCTATAATAATATTCAAAATAATAACAAACAATATACGACCACAAAAATTTTTTTGCGGTCGTATAAAAACTGCAAAATTTTGTAAAAAACTACCAATTCAGTGGCAGCAACCCAACAATGGGTTGTTCGATTCGTCTGATAATTTCAGGGCCGATAGATCTTGACCAATTAAACAATTTTACCCCTGTCACATTTGCTCTAAAAGATTTAGTTTTTGAGATATAAGCCAAAAACTGCATTTGACCCTTATGTTCTATTTTTAGCCAATAATAATATTCAAAATAATAACAAATAAAATGCTTCGCTGGGGCGCAGCTTGATACGACCGCAGAGGTCGAACCCTGAACAGTTGGGGCAAGTATGGACACAACATTCAAGCTTGATACAGCTCTGAATTTGGATTGTTATTAAATATTTGACACAGCATAGGTTTCTGACACAGAAAGAATGGGGTCTAAGAACTTGAATTTTTTTAATTTACCTATTATGGTCCAATGTCCAAAATCAAAATACATGGTTAGATTCAGCATATCAAAGAACCCCATATATTCAATTTTTGTTAAAATCAAACAAAGTTTAATTTTGGACCCCAACTTGGACACACTTGAAAACTGGGCCCATAATCAACAAGAAATGATTGTAACAGGATGCTGTTATGAAGTCTCCCAAACGAAGCTCCCATAATTCATAATTCCCAGGGTCGCCTGACATTGGGAAACGTCCAGTGAAAATTGGTTTGGTCCAGTAAAGTTATATGCATTAGTGATGCCTGGAGACTAACCTTGTATATCATTCAAATCATCTTCGCATGACAAACCAGAATATATATGGTTTAGGGGTGGGGATCTCGACCATTTACAAGATACTAGAACATTGGGGGTGGGGATGAACCCCTGGGGACTGGCCCTATACGTCATTCAAATGTTCATTACATGACGAACAGGAATATATATGGTTTAGGGGTGGGGATCTCAACCATTTACAAGATATTAGAACTTTCTCAAATGGCAGGGGGTCGGGATGACCCCTGGGGCCTAACCCTGTATATCATTCAAACCATCTCAGCATGACAAACCAGAATATATATGGTTTAGGGGTGGGGATCTTGACCACTTAGAAGATATTAGAACTTTCTTAAATGGCAGGGGGTGGGGTGACCCCTGGGGACTAACCCTGTATATCATTCAAACCATCTTCGCATGACAAACCAGAATATATATGGTTTAGGGGTGGGGATCTTGACCACTTACAAGGAATTAGAATTTTCTTAAATGGCAGGGGGTGGGGGTGACCCCTGGGGACTAACCTTGTATTTCATTTGATGTGCTTTATCATGACAAACCAGAATATATATGGTTTAGGGGTGGGGATCTCAACCATTTACAAGATATTAGAACTTTCTCAAATGGCAGGGGGTCAGGATGACCCCTGGGGACTAACCCTGTATATCATTCAAACCATCTAAGTATGACAAACCAGAATATATATGGTTTAGGGGTGGGGATCTTGACCACTTACAAGATATTAGAACTTTCTTAAATGGCAGGGGGTGGGGGTGACCCCTGGGGACTAACCCTGTATAACATTTGATGCGCTTTATCATGACAAACCAGAATATATATGGTTTAGGGGTGGGGATCTCGACCATTTACAAGATATTAGAACTTTCTCAAATGGCAGGGGGTCGGGATGACCCCTGGGGACTAACCCTGTATATCATTCAAACCATCTTAGCATGACAAACCAGAATATATATGGTTTAGGGGTGGGGATCTTGACCACTTACAAGATATTAGAACTTTCTTAAATGGCAGGGGGTGGGGGTGACCCCTGGGGACTAACCCTGTATAACATTTGATGTGCTTTATCATGACAAACCAGAATATATATGGTTTAGGGGTGGGGATCTCGACCATTTACAAGATATTATAAATTAATCAAATGGCAGGGGGTCGGGATGACCCCTGGGGACTAACCCTGTATATCATTCATACCATCTTAGCATGACAAACCAGAATATATATGGTTTAGGGGTGGGGATCTTGACCACTTAGAAGATATTAGAACTTTCTTAAATGGCAGGGGGTGGGGGTGACCCCTGGGGACTAACCCTATATTTCATTTAATGGGCTTTATCATTTAGAACATTTTCAATTTAAAAGATTGTGTCTATCACAAACGGTTTTCAATTTATAATCATTTGAAAATTTTATAAAATAAAATCCCATAGGGTTCTATAGTAAAACCCTCTTTTCTTTTTGCCCCTCAAAGTACCCCTTTATAAACCCCATTGCACAAACAAAACCCTGATTGCACCACTAGACATGTTAGTCTAACATATTGTGAAACCCTAAGTTAATCTGACAAGCGGTTTAGGAGAACAGGTGCGGACAAGTTCAAATTTAAAAGCGCGGAAGAAGAAGAAGAAGAAGAAGAAGAAGAAGAAGAAGAAGAAGAAGAAGAAGAAGAAGAAGAAGAAGAATAATAATAATAATAATAATAAGAACTGAGCAAAAACAATAAGTCTTCCCAAACTTCGTTTGGGAGACTTAAAAATCTAAACACATGTTTAGATTCAGCATATCAAAGAACCCCTAGAATTCAATTTTTGCTAAAAATCAAACTAAGTTTAATTTTGGACCCTTTGGACCTTAATGTAGACCAATTTAAAAAACGGGACTTAAAATTAAAAATCTAAATACATGGTTAGATTTGGAATATCAAAGAACCCCAATAATTCAATTTTTGATGATTAAAACAAAGTTTAATTTTGGACCCTTTTGACCTCAATATGAACCAATTTGATAGCGGGGCCCACAAATAAAAAATCTAAATTCATGGTTAGATTCAGCATATCAAAGAACCCCATATATTCAATTTTTGTTGAAATCAAACAAAGTTTAATTTTGGACCCCAATTTGGACCAACTTGAAAACTGGGCCAAAAATCAAAAATCTAAATACATGTTTAGATTCAGCATATCAAAGAACCTCATATATTCAATTTTTGCTAAAATCAAACAAAGTTTAATTTTGGACCCTTTGGACATTAATGTAGACCAATTTGAAAACTGGACCCAAAATTAAAAATCTAAATACACTGTTAGATTCGGCATAACAAATAAATAAATGTGATCAAAGATTTTACAAATCTAATGCGCCATACTGTGCAATTAAAGATTACTTCTTGAAATTTTTCAATATTTGAAATTTGAAAAAAAAATAATATTTGAAGAATAATTCTTTTTAATTTCTGAAATCTGAAATGAGAAAAAATTGGCCCCCCACAATTTCTTTTTATCCCCCCCCCCCTTTTTCCCCCCAAAAAATTCTTTCCCTCAAGATATGGTCATCTCAATTCAAATTTCCAATGGAGTTGGCAACCATAATTACCCATTTAAATTTACCATAGTGCTAACTTAATCTATTTTATAATAGAATTAATAAAAATATAGTGTCAAATCTTTCATATGGATTTTTTCGTAAAAAAAAAGATGAAAACATTTGCAGATATTTTTACTGGTCTTCCTTTATAAATATGCATTTCTTTAAACATAATTTAAAAGAGTGTAAGGGAAGTAACCAAAACGTTGTATTTGGATTACCTCCCTTACACTGTTTTAGATTATCTTTATTGTTCATTAACCATTACTTTATACATAATTTAAAAGCAGTGTAAGGGAGATAATTTCAATGATGTATTTGATTTATCTCCCTTACACTGCTTTAAATTATGTTTTGTACTAAAGTATTTGTCCATTAACCAGGACAACCTTGTTTTTCCCCCTTTTTTGCCCCTAATTCCTAAACGGTTTGAGCCATAACCCCCCAAAGCAAATCCTAACCATCCCTTTGTGGTATGGAAACTTGTAGTATAATTTCAGAGAGATCCATACACCGTTCCACAGTTATTGTCTGGAAACTAGAAAATGCTCATTTTTGGCCCCTTTTTGGCCCGTAATTCCTTAACTGTTGGTACCATAACCCCCAAAATCAATCCCAACCTTCCTTTTGTGGTATTTAACCTTATGGTCAAATTTCAAAAAGATCCATTCACTTAAACTAAAGTTAGAGTGCGAAAACCAATATGTATTCGGACGATGACGCCGGAGACGACGACGACGCCAACGTCATACCAATATACGACCACAAAATTTTTTTTGCGGTCGTATAAAAACTGCAAAATTTTGTTAAAACTACCAATTCGGTGGCAGCAACCCAACAATGGGTTGTTAGATTCGTCTGAAAATTTCAGAGCTGATAGATCTTGACCAATTGAACAGATTTGCTCTAAAAGCTTTAGTTTTTGAGATATAAGCCAAAAACTGCATTTGACCCCTATGTTCTATATTTAGCCATGGCGGCCATGTTTGTTGATGGATCAAAACTTCGGATACAATTTATAAACTAGATACCCTAAGGAACATTTAGTTAAAGTTTGAAGGTATTTGGCTCAGTAGTTTCAGAGGAGAAGATTTTTGAAATAGTTTACGACGACGGACGCCAAGTGATGGCATAAGCTCACATGGGGCCCTTCGGCCTCGGTGAGCTAAAAAGCCATATAATAAACAAAATATACGCTTTATTTTATATTTTAAACACAGTCTTCACGCTTAACCACAAGTCCTCAACATTGGCTTGTAAAATTGCTCTCCGGCTTGTAAAATTCTTCCCTACAAGCCAACAGAATCGAACTAAATTTTTCAAAAAATTGAGCGTCTGGCTTGTGGACTTAAAAGTTTAGCGTGAAGGCTGTTTAAAAACAGATTTTTTTCTCTCTTTGATAAAGAGGTTGGTCAACCATGACTAATATCAATATCATTACTGATGGATGGAACAGAACAATTGACATTGATTGTACAATTAAAGTGTATTTAATACTAAGTCAAAATAAATAATATTTCAAACAGATACAAAAAATAGATCAAATTTTCAGGATTTCTAAAAATATTGTGGTCACTTTATCATTTTAATCTTGTGCACAGAACAATTTTTTTGCACATATAACAGTCAGAGATATAACTCTATAGGGTTATTACAGAAAATAACTTGCGTGTGTTATTACAGATACTTTCATGAGTTGTCTACTCTTTATTCTTAAATTTATTAAATCTGCAATAACATATGTTTGTTATTTGTAAAATATATCCAAAATATTTTAATTTATAATGGGCTCTAGGGAACTCTTGAGACTTTGCGCAGAAACTAAATGCATAGCCTTGATAATTAATTTTTTAATTAAATTAATACATTTTTGATTAACCATGGTAAATCAACGAGACAAGGCTTTTAAGGGATAAAATTTTCTGTAATAACATAGCTTAGTTATTAAAGGAATGTAACCTATTATATGAGACACTTGGGAATTACTGGGAAGCTTGCGCAGAACCTCATTACATGCTCTGGTCATTATTTCTTACAATAAATTAAAATACATTGTAATTAAGTATGATGTATGTCTGAGAAAATGCTTTGGAGTGATATAGAGAAGCTGTAATAACACCCTTTAGTTATTACAGGCATATTTTTTCTGTAATAACATATAGGTGTACTATGCAAAATTGGCAGACTATGAACTGTTATATCTTTCTATAGTTAAGTATACATAAAGACAATAGTAATATCAATAGAACTTGTATGCATTTTAACTAAACTAATGATGTATATTGTCCCTTTGAAACGTGTAGCATACATATGTTATCACAGTTCTTTGATTTTTTTGTCCACAATAACAAATGTATGTTATTTTTTCTGTAATAACCCTATAGAGTTATATCCCTGACTGTATAATGTACTCTTATATATTCTAAGGTCGACTTTACCATATCGCGTGTAGTTGGTGAAGCTTAAGCAAAAATACTGTGTATGCAGGGAATAAGCTGTAAAATTTCACTTCAGGAGCCCAAAAAAGAATGTGAAAATTTTGTTTTGACCATACGGGAATATTCTGTAAAAAGTTTGGGCCCAGCCAAATTTTCAACAGCATTGGCTACTGGGAACCCTGTAAAGCTTATTCCCTGATATGAAGTGAACATGTACATGTATGCTTATCAATTATGGATTTATCTTCCATATGTATAATGGTGCTCCATCTGTAGGAGAATCCCATTCATAGTGTATTATGATTGAATGTAAACAACATGCCACAGAAGTCAAGTAAAGATGGATCATTGATTTCTGCATGCATTTTATTTTTTTTATTATTTCTGGTTTTGCCATTCAATCTAATAAATCCATATAATAAATAGATAGTTCTGCATGTTTATCAGTATTTGTTTTGTCTATTGCATGAATGTAATTGTCTTTTTATGCTGAAACAAAATGCTCCGCTGGGCGCAGCTTGATCCGACCACAGAAGTCGAACCCTGAACAGTTGGGGCAAGTATGGACACAACATTCAAGCTTGATACAGCACTGAATTTGGATTGTGATTAAATATTTGACACAGCATAGGTTTCTGACACAGAATGAATGTGGTCTAAGAACTTAAAAAAAATTTTAATTTACCTATTCAAACCATATCATTATTTGCTTTTATATATAAATCAGAAATAACCAATTTAAAATGGAAAATTTTAAAGAAAAAAAAGATCCCCCCCAAATTTTTTGAACCCCCTTATGATTCATCACCCCCAAACTGAATCCCAGACTTTCCTTTGTGGTATGGTACCTTGCAGTACAAATTTCAGAGATCCATACACTTGAACACAAGTTATTGTCTGGAAACTAGAAAAATGCTTGTTTTTGGCCACTTTTTGGCCCCAAATTCCTAAACATTTAGGGCAATTACCCCCAAACTCAAAACCAACTTTCCCTTTGTGATATGGAACCTTGTAGTACAATTTCATAAAGATCCATACACTTACACACAAGTTATTGTCCTGAAACTAGAAAAATGCTTGTTTTTTTGCCCCTTTTTGGCCCCTAATTCCTAAAATTTTGAGGCAATTACCCCCAAAATCAATCCCAGCCTTCCCTTTGTGGTATGGTACCTTGCAGTACAATTTCAGAGAGATCCATACACTTGAACACAAGTTATTGTCCTGAAACTAGAAAAATGCTTGTTTTTTAGCCCCTTTTTGGCCCCTAATTCCTAAAATTTTGAGGCAATTACCCCCAAAATCAATCCCAGCCTTCCCTTTGTGGTATGGTACCTTGCAGTACAATTTCAGAGAGATCCATACACTTGAACACAAGTTATTGTCTGGAAACTAGAAAAATGCTTGTTTTTTGGCCCCTTTTTGGCCCAAATTCCTAAACGTTTAGGGCAATTACCCCCAAACTCAAACCCAGCTTTCCCTTTGTGATATGGAACCTTGTAGTACAATTTCATAAAGATCCATGCACTTACACACAAGTTATTGTCCTGAAACTAGAAAAATGCTTGTTTTTTTGCCCCTTTTTCCTTAAATTTTGAGGCAATTACCCCCAAAAATCAATCCCAGCCATCCCTTTGGTGTAAGGTACCTGCAGTATAATTTCAGAGAGATCCATACACTTGAACACAAGTTATTGTCTGGAAACTAGAAAAATGCTTGTTTTTTGGCCCCTTTTGGCCCAAATTCCTAAACGTTTAGGGCAATTACCCCCTTCAAACCCAGCTTTCCCTTTGTGAAATGGAACCTTGTAGTACAATTTCATAAAGATCCATACACTTACACACAAATTATTGTCTGGAAACTAGAAAAATGCTTGTTTTTTGGCCCCAAATTCCTAAATGTTTAGGGCAATTACCCCCAAACTCAAACCCAGCTTTCCCTTTGTGATATGGAACCTTGTAGTACAATTTCATAACTATCCATACACTTACACACAAGTTATTGTCCTGAAACTAGAAAAATGCTTGTTTTGTCCCCTTTTTTGGCCCATAATTCCTAAAATTTTGAAGCAATTACCCCCAAAATCAATCCCAGCCTTCCCTTTTTGGTATTGTACCTTGCAGTACAAATTTCAGAGATCCATACACTTGAACACAAGTTATTGTCTGGAAACTAGAAAAATGCTTATTTTTGGCCCCTTATTCCTAAACGTTTTGGGCAATTACCCCCAAACTCAATTCCAGCTTTCCTTTGTGATATGGAACCTTGTAGTACAATTTCAGAAAGATCCATACACTTACACACAAGTTATTGTCCTGGAACTAGAAAAATGCTTGTTTTTTGCCCCCTAATTCCTAATATTTTGAGGCAAACACCCCCAAAATCAATCCCAGCATTGCCTGTGTGATATGGAACCTTGTGATACAATGTCAGAGAGATCCATACACTAACACACAAGTTATGTCTGGAAGTTACAAAAATGCTTATTTTTGGCCCCTAATTCCTGAACTGTTGGTACCATAACCCCCAAAATCAATCCCAACCTTCCTTTTGTGGTATTGAACCTTATGGTAAAATTTGATAGAGATCCATTGACTTAAACTAAAGTTAGAGTGCGAAAACCAATGTGTCTTCGGAAGATGACGACGCCAACGTCAAAAATGGAACCCATAACAAAGGATTTTCACTCTTTAAAATTGTCTTATTTTTATATATGAGTGAATTTCACCAATCAATTTTGAATTTTAACAATGAAATAGTTGGTTATAATCTACTCAATTTAGTCAAAATTACAGGTTAAAAAAAAATCTGAAAAGCAAATTAGCAAAATACAATTCTCTCTTCATGCTCTTGAAAGACTGTCCTGTCTCGACTATCTTAAAAAAAAAACTTCCTAAGAAAGATGCATTGATTAGTAAGCAGTCATAGTTGTGTAAAAATTGTCATTTTTTTCCCCAATTACAAATAATAAGTCTTGTAATTTTACAGTGTATTCCTATTTGCCATTAAAGAAATGAAGTATTTTATATTGAAACTAATTTCAAAATAATAACCGTACCATCAAGTTTGATACCAGCCATTAGACTGTATTTCCGCTTAATTTCCATCTTCTCCTTCATTGTGGGTTCAGGTGAGTCAAGAAACTTATAAACTTTAAATGCATTATCTCCCTTTCTAACACCAAGTTCTTTCAGTTCCATCACATCAGGAAGACTGTTTAGAGCACAACGGAAGTTAGCTTTCCAACGCTTGTGGTTACCCTCGTGATGGCGTCCTGTAAAATATAGATGACCTTAATTTTCTCCGGGTCACGTAGGCGCACACCATTAAATTTTAAGAAACACAGGCCTTTTACTTAAAATATGTGTCAGTAATTTTTTCTTTAATTTGATTTGCCTTATGGGCAAACTGTAGTTTTAATGAATAAAATGAGATATATCAAGTCTTCTGCCGCTGATAAGTTTTGAGGATAAAGGATCTGTACCAAATTAGGATAGCAAAATATTAAAAATTTGGAAGATTGGCACAAATAGACATGGTGTTTATACTAATATTATCCAAGTGCAAGGTTTTTCAGGGCTAGGTTTAAAACGCATGATAAATTCAAAATAGAAATATGAAGCAGGACAGACAATTTTTGCAGATAAATAAATTATGTGTTGTAATGCTTGTTTGATTCACAGAAATCTGGACATGCATTACATGAATACAGATAAATTAATGAGCCCTTAGAATTGTGGAAAAGGAGGGGATTTTATTCATCACTAGTACACTAGATACATTTATAAATATGTTTCTGTCAGTATCTTTTATGAGGGGCGTAAAAGGGGGGGGGGGGGGTATCTGCACAAAAGAACCCGGAATAAAATTGCCATGTCACGATGAACGAACAATTAAAAATTTCTTGCACCTTGATCTTTTTACCGATTTCACGAAACACGGTGAATGACGAACCTTTTTCACTGCCGCACGAGAAGTAATAAAATGCTCCGCTGGGCACAGCTTGATACGACCGCAGAGGTCGAACCCTGAACAGTTGGGGCAAGTATGGACACAACATTCAAGCTTGATACAGCACTGAATTTGGATTGTGATTAAATATTTGACACAGCATAGGTTTCTGACACAGAATGAATGTGGTCTAAGAACTTAAAAAAAATTTTAATTTACCTATTCAAACCATATCATTATTATTTGCTTTTATATATAAATCAGAAATAACCAATTTAAAATGGAAAATTTTAAAGAAAAAAAAGATCCCCCCCAAATTTTTTGAACCCCCTTATGATTCATCACCCCCAAACTCAATCCCAGACTTTCCTTTGTTGTATGGTACATTGCAGTACAAATTTCAGAGATCCATACACTTGAACGCAAGTTATTGTCTGGAAACTAGAAAAATGCTTGTTTTTGGCCCCTTTTTGGCCCAAAATTCATAAACGTTTAGGGCAATTACCCCCAAACTCAAACCCAGCTTTCCCTTTGTGATATGGAACCTTGTAGTACAATTTCATAAAGATCCATACACTTACACACAAGTTATTGTCCTGAAACTAGAAAAATGCTTGTTTTTTTGCCCCTTTTTGGCCCCCAATTCCTAAAATTTTGAGGCAATTACCCCCAAAATCAATCCCAGCCTTCCCTTTGTGGTAAGGTACCTTGCAATACAATTTCAGAGATCCATACACTTGAACACAAGTTATTGTCTGGAAACTAGAAAAATGCTTATTTTTGGTCCCTTATTCCTAAACATTTTGGGCAATTACCCCCAAAATCAATCCCAGCATTCCCTTTGTGATATGGAACCTTGTGGTACAATGTCAGAGAGATCCATACACTTGGAACACAAGTTATTGTCTGGAAACTAGAAAAATGCTTATTTTTGGCCCCTAATTCCTTAACTGTTGGTACCATAACCCCCAAAATCAATCCCAACCTTCCTTTTGTGGTATTGAACCTAATGGTAAAATTTCATAGAGATCCATTCACTTAAACTAAAGTTAGAGTTCGAAAACCAATGTGTCTTCGGATGACGAAGACGACGACGCCAACGTCATACCAATATACCACAAAATTTTTTTGTGGTCGTATAAAAATGGCAAAACACGTTGCACGAAAATAACCCTTTACCACCCTTTTTCATGTTTTAAGAATTATCTTATTCATGTTAAGAAGAAAGGCAATAAAAGGGGGAAGTACTTCAATTGACACAAGATGCTAGTCTATTAAAATATGTATGTTTTGTACCAGGCTAGCATCTACTGGTACAAAACTACTATAAACCTGTAAATCTGGGACCATTTTGGTCTTTTAGCTTTGGTGCTTTCAGCCATAATTATCTTGAATGTATCATTGTGGTTCTGACTATAGTAGATACTTTGTTCTCTGGTTCAAGGGAAAATTTGTCAATGATAATATATTTAATAAATTCAACAAATGTAAGAGCCACGCATATTTTTTCGGTGATGTCCTGGTGAAAAGCTTCTATCTCATGAAGCGAAAAAGTCAAGCAGACATCAACTGTTTCTGCTTTACAAAAGATAAAATTTGAGTCCTCTACAAGGTCTCTCGGAACGTTTCTTTCAAAGAATAGCTGAAAATTTGATTTTTGATAAAATCCATCTCCCTTAACCAATGCATTGCAGCATAGGGAGATGCTTCCCCCTGCCGGCCTCTTTCACATTACTTTTGGCAGACTTTTTCTATTCCATGTCATTTAAATGTTTGCTCCCAATACAGTTTAAGGCAAGCGCTTTTAAGATCGTGATTTGAAATATGTAAAGCCAGGAACAAACTCGGCGGATACGATCAAATTCCGATAAATAAAAAAAAGAAAAATTCTGAAACGCAAATAAAATTTTTTGGGCGGCAAGTTTTTCAGTGGGTTGGGCGGCAATGCCAAACAAATGAAATTTTATTTTAGGCCTTACTGGTTAAAAATTCATTGTACTGGAACAAAATGCTAACTTGATCTGTAACTTGTCATGATAAAACTATATACCAATTATCAAATCAATATCTTAAAGCATGATGAAAAAAGTGAAGAAAACTGATTATTTGAGTTAATTTTCTCAGTCCAAGGACAATACATGTAACTCTGCACAAAATCATCAGACCGGAACAAAATTCGAACTTGATCTGTAACTTGTCATGGTAAAACTGTATACCAATTATTAAATCAATATCTTAAAGTATGACGAAAAAAGTGAGGAAAACTGATTTTTTAGTGATTTTTCTAAGTCTAAGGACCATAACTCTGCACAAAATCATCAGACCGAAACAAAATTCGAATTTGATCCGTAACTTAAACTTGTCATGGTAAAACTGTATACCAATTATTAAATCAATATCTTCAAGCACGAAGAAAAAAAAGTGTGGAAAACTGATTTGCCACTGACGGATGGACAGACAGACAGATGGACGGAGTGCAAACCTAAAGTCCCTTCGTCATAAATGCCCCCGCTCAAGCTTTGCAATTTTCCAGGTTAAAAAGGGGCATAACTCTAGAATGGTAAATGACTCACTGTCCAAATTTTACAGCCGATTTCAATGTGTGTGTAGGCAAAGGTAATATCTTTGGTTAGCTTGCTTGCTAGCTGAACCGTGAAGTTAGTGTTAGGTTAGGTAAAATAAGGAGGGAAAGACAGAAGGATGGAAAGACAGGTAACACTTTATGACCCATTGCCTACAGCGGGGGCATAAAAGACTGTCAGTGACCTTGTATTTGCTCAAGCTATCTAACTTGTTTTTTCGTCATTGTGGGAAAATTTTGTGTTGTTATAATTGATTATAAACCTTTGATAGTTTTTTTATCAAATTTATTCACCATGTTCACGTATTTCCCAGACATTGATTAATTTAGAGCTTGTCCTTATATGGAGACAACTTTCTTTTTTCATTGAAAATTGTATGCTTATCTCTGGTCAATTGATATCATTGATTTAAATTACGAACCTGTATGAAAAGCCCAACGTTCAAACAAATCTGAATCTCTGTTACGATTGAAACAGTTGTGCGCTGCGTGTTTCCAAGAAATTCGGAAAATATTTTCTCTCTTGTTCTGCCAGCTTAAACCAGGTAGTATATTCTTGTCTAACAGGTCAATCAGCCAAGGACGCATTTTCTGCCGTTCGACAGGACGCACAGGGCGCTGTCCCTCGACAGAATATGTTTCTGACGGTGTATCATCATCTTCCTCAGGGTCGTCTTCTTCTGATTTCAAAAAAACAGTCTCACAGATAATTTCCTCAGTTTCAACACCAAGTTCAGGTTCCTCACATCCCTCTTGGTCTGAGGACATTGCTCAATGAACCCTGAAAAATAGGTCATCAGGTCATTTCTTGAAAGGTGTTGCTGTTTTCAATCAGTCAAATCCATTTCACCCTTCTTGTCGGGTTCAAATAATTTATACCCATGATGAGAAAACTCAATAATTGAGACACTCTTTTTAAATTTTGATGGAAAACATAATATTCATAAGCCATTAATAAAATTCGTAAGGGTTCCGCGGAACCCAGTGTCTCGCCTACTTTTTCTGTTAATCGCAGGCTCTACAAAAATGAGGAAGTAAATCAATAAAAATATTCCACTTGATACTATCTTTTGATTGTTAGAAGCTTCAGTCCAAGTTTGGTAAAAATCCAGGATAGTTTATGAATCTAATAAATGTTTAAAAACTTTAACTGCAGACTGAATGTAATTTTATCTGGAAGAAAACAAAATTTCCTTCTAGATACTAGCATTTGATCATAAACAAGCTTCTGTCCAAGTTTGATACAAATCCAAAATAGTATAAGAAAGTTATTAAAACTTTAAAAACTTTAACCACAGAGTGAATGTGTTGTTTCCTGGCAGAAAATCTAAGTCCATTTTAAAGTAAAATACAGAAAAAATAGATTTATTTTTTTACAAAATTTCCTTCTAGATACTAGCTTTTGATCATAAACAAGCTTCTGTCCAAGTTTGGTACAAATCCAAAATAGTATAAGAAAGTTATTAAAATTTTAAAAACTTTAACCACAGAGTGAATGTGTTGTTTCCTGGCAGAAAATCTAAGTCCATTTAAAAGTAAAATAAATGTGGATAGTGTCCACATGTGGACACAGATGATGCCCCCGCTTGCATATCATATAGTTATAAAGAGACTTAACTGAAGAACGATAAAAGTGACGCTACCCAAATTTGAACTTGATCGGAGTTTTGTGGTAATAAGCATTGTGTGTAAGTCTCATAACATTTGGTTGAGGCTAACTTAAGTAGAGAACAGAAACTAAAAATTCAGCAATTTTTCTATTTGTAAACACCCATAACTCTAGAACAGTTGTGTATAAGTTTTACAACATTTGGTTGAGACAAACTAAAAAATTCAGCAATTTTTATGTTTATAAAGGGACATAACTCTAGAATGGTAAAAGTGTTGCCACCTAATTTCGTACTTAATCTGTATTATGTAGTAATAAGCATTGTGTATAAGTTTCATAACATTTGGTTGAGGCAAACTCAAGTTAGAGAACTGAAACAAAAAATTGTACTTGATCCTTACTGAGTTTTGTGGTAATGAATATTGTGTATAGGTTTCATAATGTTTGGCTGGGGAAAACTTCAGTTACAGAATGGAAACTAAAAAAAATTGCAATCTTTCTATTTATAAAGGGGCATAACTCAATAATGGTTAAAGTGACACTACCCAAATTCAACTTGATCTGTGTTTTATCAGTGGAAGTCAAAATTAAACATTGCATTGTATAAAGCATTGATTGTAGTTGATCCAACTATAATCATGGTCAAAGGAAGATAACTCCAATTTTAAAAATATATTATATAAACTTGATATTTAGAAGAAAATAAAAATTTTGCAATTTTTCCTTTTATAAAGGGGCATAACTCTAGATCGGTTAAAGTGACACCACCAAAATTCAAACTTGATCTGTGTTTTGTGGTAATAAGCATTGCGTATAAGTTTCATAACATTTGGTTGAGGCAAACTTAAGTTAGAGAACGGAAACTAAAAATTTTGCAATATTTCCTTTTATAAAGGGGCATAACTCTAGATCGGTTAAAGTGACGCCACCAAAATTCAAACTTGATCTGTGTTTTGTGGTAATAAGCATTGTGTATAAGTTTCATAACATTTGGTTGAGGCAAACTCAAGTTAGAGAACGGAAACCAATTTCGGGACGTATGTACGTACGTACGTACGTACAGACGGACAAGGGTAAAACTTAATGCCCCCTCCGCTACGGCGGGGGCATAAAAAGGAAAAAATGGATTTATTTTTTTACAAAATTTACTTCTGAATAATATCTTATGATCATAAACAAGCTTCTGTCCAAGTTTGGTACAAACCCAGGATAGTTTAAGAAAGTTATTAAAATTTTAAAAACTTTAACCACAGAGTGAATGTAATATTTCCCGGCAGAAAAACTAAGTCCATTTATAAGTAAAATATGGAAAAAATGGAATTTTATTTTTACAATATTTACTTCTGGATACTATCTTATGATCATAAACAAGCTTCTGTCCAAGTTTGGTAGAAATCCAGGATAGTTTAAGAAAGTTATTAAAATTTCAAAAACTTTAACCACAGAGTGAATATTTGTGGACGCCGCCGACGACAACGACGACGAAATGTAGGATCGCTATGTCTCGCTTTTTCGACTAAAGTCGAAGGCTCGACAAAAATGAATAAGTATTTGATATGGATAACTTGAAATAATTGGGTCAAAAATTATAGGCACTGGCTACGATTACCACAAAAAGTAACAATAAGAAATAATTATTGTTACTTCTGAGACTAATTGCCGAAATGTATATCGGGAAAGGGACCCGATTTCATACAAAAATTGTAACAATGATATGTATACTTGTTTATTGTTATTTGCAGATATTGATAACCACAAAATTTTACATTTGAAAATTATGTCTTTTTTTTGGTGTAGCATGGGATAATCTGTGCTGTCTTAGCTTCGTGTCATTGCCCTGTAATATGTTGAATTACGTATTTGAACAAATTTATGAATGCATGTATATATATTTCAAATCACGATAATGTATTTATTTCTGATTTTTTTTTTACTTTGGACGATGATCCTATTTTACTAGATGTTCTTTTATACAACATGTATAACTGCACAAAATTTGCATCTTGGAATCGTTGAAGTATCATTAAAATTTAGAAAGGATATAAAATTTTCACAGACCACAAATTGGACATCTTGCTCATTCTAATTCATACTTAAGAATAGTGAGTTCTTTATATCGACCCCCATGTCAAAGGTGAATGTCATATTGGTCAATACATCTGGATTTTTAATCATATTTATTTTTTTACATTATAACAATTAATTAATTTATCATCAGCTCAGTAGTCAGTACTTCCGTCTGACATGATTTATAACAAGGATGATTCCAGGTGTTTTCAAATGGGTCCCTTGACCATCAAATTGGGAATTTTCATCCTAATTGGGAACTTTTTATGCATAAAAAGGTAACAAGAGTGCACACGCTGAAATGTCTCGCCTTCTTTACTAATCATTGATATTATGTTGATAGTCCTAAATATAAAGCTTTCTTACAACTGTCACATAAACTTAACATTAACCAAGAAAACTAAACATTGACCAATGAACCATGGAAATGAGGTCAATGTCAGATGAACCATGCCAGGCAGGCATGTACAGCTAACAATTCTTCCATACAACAAATATAGTTGACCTATTGCTTATAGTTTTAAGAAAAACAGACCAAAACACAAAAACTTAACACTGAGCAATGAACTGTGAAAATGAGGTCAAGGTCAAATAAAAACTGCGCGACTGACATAAAGACCATAAAATATTTCCATACACCAAATATAGTTGACCTATTGCATATAGTATTAGAAAAAAAGACCAAAACTCAAAATCTTAACTTTGACCACTGAACCATGAAAATGAGGTCAAGGTCAAATGACACCTGCCAGCTAGACATGTACACCTTACAATCATTCCATACACCAAATATAGTTGACCTATTGCTTAAAGTGTAAGAAAAACAGACCAAAACACAAAAACGTAACATAAGCAATGAACCATGAAAATGAGGTCAAGGTCAAATAAAATCTGCCAGACTGACATGTACATCATTAAATATTTCCATACACCAAATATAGTTGACCTACTGCATACAGTATTAGGAAAACAGACCAAAACACAAAAACTTAACATTTAGCAATGAACCTTGAAAATGAGGTCAAGGTCAAATAAAACTTGCCAGACTGACATGAACATCGTACAATATTTCCATACACCAAATACAGTTGACCTATTGCATACAGTATTAGAAAAACAGACCAAAACACAAAAACTAAACTATGTCCACTGAACCATGAAAATGAGGTCAAGGTCAGATGACACCTGCCAGTTAGACATGTACCCCTTACTATCATTACATACACCAAATATAGTAGACCTATTGCTTATAGTATCTCAGATATGGACTTGACCACGAAAACTTAACCTTGTTCACTGATCCATGAAATGAGGTCGAGGTCAAGTGAAAACTATCTGACGGGCATGAGGACCTTGCAAGGTACGCACATACCAAATATATTTATCCTATTACTTATAATAAGAGAGAATTTAACATTCCAAAAAATCTGAACTTTTTTTTCAAGTAGTCGCTGAACCATGAAAATGAGGTCAAGGACATTGGACATGTGACTGACGGAAACTTCGTAACATGAGGCATCTATATACAAAGTATGAAGCATCCAGGTCTTCCATCTTCTAAAATATAAAGCTTTTAAGAAGTTAGCTAACGCCGCCGCCCGATCACTATCCCTATGTCGAGCTTTCTGCGACAAAAGTCGCAGGCTCGACAAAAACTAAGACGAAATAACATTATTTTCCTGTAAAAAGGAAAATGTATATTAGGTTTCACCTGTACACTGCTGTAATAAGTTGTAACATTTTTAATAATCCTGGACGGGATACTGATTATGATCGATATATAATGATTACCAGATCGCTTGACAGTTATTGGTTTGAGACCAGGGAAGTTGTTACATGAAGATCATTGCACATGATGGCGACAGATGCACTATCTTCTCTTAGCTATGGTAACCTAGGCCTTTTACATATATATAACAGCTAACATAAACAACTGAAAAAATCATCCATTGGGTATATTTTTTTTAACAACAGGTTATCTTTATAAATTTACCTTGATTCAAATGGATTTCAAATTGTACTGGCCAATTGTCAAATTCAGAAAAGCAATTACAAAAGTTCAAGTACTGTTTTTGTGATTTTTGCTTTCTATTTAATATGTAGAAGTTTGCCATAGTTTTACTTTATGTGTAGCCCTAAGAAACAGGAAATTAAAGCATTGAACCATTGTATTTTAATATTATTTCATTTTGGATCATCTTCACAACTTTTGAAACAGTTCCATAATGTCCTGAATGATCTATCGTCCACATGTATTTTAAAAAACGCTCAATCGTTTGTCTTTTGAGGAAATAGAGACTGACAAAATATAAATTAATTTCTTTTACAAAAAGAAAAGGTTTTCATCATATCATATACCGGCTCTGCTGGGCGATCTGCTTTTACGAGATCGGCGCCCATTGAAATTATTAATCATAAATGTTATATCTAAAATGAAATTTGGCTCTCTGCCGAGATCTGCTTTAATGAGACCCATTTTGACAAAAAGCATCTTGTTTATCGACCTGCTGGGTGATCTGCTTTTACAAGATCAAATACTCCCATATCATTTTCATCAATAGAATCCGGCTGCTAAAATCGTTTACCACATGTTGACAAAATTAAATCATTGTTAATAAAATGCGGTCGTTGACAGCATGATTCTCACCCATATCATACGGATTTTAAAACGCTTTGATGAAAAACTTTGAAAACATTACAGTTGCCTAAATCGGTAACAGAAACATTTACGAAATAACGATTTATATTTTATTTTTCCTGAATTGGGAATTTATATTCACATAAATTTTTTTGGGGCCGCTGGCTGATTTTAGGGCCGTTCAGCGACCCTTAACTATATAGTAGAATCATCCCTATATAACCAGGGTTCTCACTAAGGATTTTTGAAGGCGAGTCCAGGGACTCGTCATTTTTGGCCATGGTGAGTCCAACAGGAGGAAGAAGATATTTTATTTTATTGCAAAATAATTTATCATTTTAGTCTTCATGACCTAATTATAATAGAGCAATGAAATGACATTAAATTCAGATTTCTTTTAAACTTTAAGTCTTTTGCTATAAAATGATGATGTGTGTGTTCAGTTTATACAAAATATTTCAATCTTGATGCATCTTTGGACTCACCAGTTTTGAAAATGGTGAGTCCAGACAGATTTTCATGAGTCCAGGACTCATAGACTCACCTTAGTGAGAACCCTGTATAACAAACCTTTCTTAAATTGTCTGTTTATTATGAATTTTGAAATTACAAAGAAACTTAGGTTCCAACTCCCTTAGATGGATTTGGCTATTTTTTTAGGTCCTTTTAGTTATATAGCTCGCCAACTGTTTCGGTTTTATACATCCTTGGCTTTCAAATATTCAGCTTTGAGCGTTCCTGATGAAGGTTTATCCAGAAAAGCACTCCGGACGCATGAAATTTATAACGGGTTGTTTTCATTTTTTTAATTGTTTAAATCTATTTCACAGTTTGCTCGCAAATCAAACATTTTTTTAACTCAGCAATTAAAATTTTGCGGATAACAATAGCTGTAGGTACAATAAAAAAGGATATTATTGTTACATGCAATTTCCGTATGAATTTGAAATCAGGAAATACATTTCGGCAAGTCGCCTTTTCAGAATCTAAAGAACTATGGGTAATGACATTATTCGTACACCAAAATGAATTTAACGTTATGTCATTGGTTGAATTTCCATAGTTTAGAATGTTTCAAACCAATTACAACATAATTTGGTGTATGCTTTTGAAAATATTATCCAGAATGCATTAGATTATGAAAGAGCTAATTAGTCTCAGCAATAACAATAATTTATTCTTATTGTTAATTTTTGCAGGTAATCGTAGCCAGTGCCTAAATTATATCTCTATCATTTAATCTTTTTTTATTTACTTTAATGAAATCTATTAAATCGAAACTAATCAAGTTATATACTTTTATTTTTATATTGTGTTTGAAATTTTTTTGTGTAATAATTGTGCTAACTTTTTACACAATGAATGGCAAATAAAATATTTGTGTTTTTTTCTCTCCAAAATTCAAATTATACAGTGACAGATAGCGAGATAAAAGATTTTATTACCACGGATTCAGTTTTTAAATTATTTCCCCGTCATTGCCCCTTAAGCCTCGTTCTGAAGTACGTCCTACTTTCATTATACAACTTGACAAACAACTACGACAAATCATGTTTCCAGTGTAGTTTACTCTCTTTAAATATAACATATTGCTTTTTAATTTGATCTTGTCATGTTAAACATTAAATATGAATACACTATATTTCCACAGCCTTAAATTAAAATGCCAGACGAGTATCGATGGTCGCCATGTTGGATCACAAAAGAAAGTAGATTTCGAAAGTAAAAAAAATATTCTACTTTCATCTTTGATTCTAAGAAACTATACTATATCTGCATGGCTAAGGATATTGTTTTTGTCTTTTCTTTATCAAAATACACCATACCAACGAACAAATTTTGGTTTAAAATGTAAAACTAAGTATATGACGCGGTAACAAAAAAATGTAAAGGGCGCCATGCCTTCTTTCACTTTGGTTGTCAAATTTCTGCTTAAGTTCTTTTCTTACCACCTTTTCGTTTTGTACATCGAATATGTTTATGTGTAATTTACTTACATTTTGTAATCAAATATTAATATATCCACCAAATTTCGATGTAAATAGCAGTGTTCTGGTTCAGACAGGCAGTTGCTGGTCAACATGAAACTACATAGGTGGCGCTTTGCTAATTAGCATACAGTAACTTTTGTTTTTCCAACGTGTTCCATTGGTTGAAACTGAAATTGAAGAATCTTCGCTGTAGACTTAATTTATTTTTATAAGCGTGCACAAATATTATCAAATTCCACATACACTCTATTCTTCCTTTAAAAGTTTTTAAGGGATTTCTGGTCCAAAAACAAGTTATTCCAAGGTCATTCGAGGCAAACATAATATCAGGTCGGTTTTGGGGCTCCAAGAAGGGATTTTTGACTTTGCATTGGTCCTAAAGTTACAGGATACGGCAGGATGAAGAGATAAAGCTAGACACCGACCTTTCATTCTTTTTTCATGTTTGTGTGTGTGGGGGAAGGGATGTTTAAAGAAAATAAAAAAAATGTTTAGTTTCAGAATTTAATGAAAACATTTTTGCAGAGAAATATTATTATTGAAAACTGAGACTACTATAACCACAACATGAGGTGGCGTGTCAACGTATATTTGTCCCACTTCCCCCTTCGTATTTTTTTTTTGGGGGGGGGAGGTAGTCTATTAAGCAAATATTTATCAATATTTCAACTTATATTTTCTTATCTAATGTGTTCTCAAATTGCTCTGATCCACGTCAGGGGCGGATCCAGCCATTTATAAAAAGTGTGTGTGTGGGGGGGGGGGGGGGGTGTCCCTACTATATGTCCCCATTCAATTGCATTGGTCGTCAAAAAAAGGGGGGTTCCAACCCCCGGACCCCCCCCCCCCCCTGGATCCGCCATTGCACGTGTTATTATTACACAGTACAAATTAGTAATTATAGTTAGTGTAGTTTAAACATCAGACTGCCCATGAAAATAAGAATAGATTCACATCGAAGGACAACCCTGTCCCGTTCTTCCTCTATTCGCTGTACATTCACTTTAGGAAAAAAGGCCAGACTTTTCCTCCTCGGATTCTGTTCGCGTATTGCATGCTAAACCAATCCGATATTAAAAATATACATACATGTATACAATAGTGTCAAAGTCAGCAAACTTTGAAATTTGTTAACGTTATCATGGTTATATATATTTAGCTCTTAATTTACAAAGTATCTTCAACGAGGGTGTAGATGGGGTTCACAGAATATAGAGAATGATGATGGGGGGGGGGGGGGGGGATAAAGAATAGAGACAAATGGGGTGCTAGAATATAAAGAATAACTGCAAAAATTAAAGAGGGGGGCCCTCATTAAATAATTGGGTAAAAATGTACTGATTACAGAAAAGAAAAATGTCCAGAATACAGTTATCGCGCAAGTAATTGCAGAATAGCCATTATTTTTAAAGATAAAGAATAATGAGCGAAACAATTAAAGAATACAGAAATGAAGGATCTCCCAACCATACCCTCCTCAACATGTAGTGTTGTTGAAATTTGTATCCTGAACACAGCATATTGAAGGATTTGTCACGCATGATTAAAGTTATATATGAAAATTAAATTTTAATAATAGAGGATCTGGATGGGGTTGACCATGTTTAGTGTGACGTCCATTTTCGCTGAACTATAGTATATATATAAATCATATAGCTAGTATACATTATTGTTTAGGGGCCAGCTGAAGCCCGCCTCCGTGGTCGGGTTATTGTCTCTTTGACGCATTCCCCGTTTCCATTCTCAATTTTATTACAGAATAGAGATCGAATGGCCAAGAAATAAAGAATATTAAAAAATAAGATAAAAAATTAATAAATAGAGGACGATGGGCTGCTAAATGATAAGGAAAATTAAAGAATACAGAAATGAAGGACCCCCGTCCAGACCTTTGACCACTACTGAGAGGATTGGTGTTCCATTGATTGGAGGAAGAGGCATTACCGATGAAATTTATGTCTCAGTAAATGCCACACCAGTTGTTCCGAGAACCATGGATGAAAAAGAAATGGAACTACTAGTCTGTAAAGATTGATTGATTGTTGGTTGCTTAACGTCCAGTGGCAAATATTTCATGCATGTTCAGGACGAAATCGAATTATCAATAAATACAATAGGTAGGTCCTGTAATAGAGGTTGTCCGGGATAAAGGTCGGGGAAATTTAGACTGCCACTGGAAAATGAAGGTATATTGTATAGGGACGGAAATTTTGCCTTGCAACAGGCCACCATCGAACCCCTCAAAAAGTTGGTACAAGGGTTCTCAACGTGCAAATAGCGTCGCAGGCTTTCTACGCGAGGCATCGGATTTATCGTCCCTGTTCTGACCGGACGTGGCTGCATACTTGTACATCCCGCCAGCCAAACGGACGCCACACTTTGGCAAGGGTTTTACTACCTGATGGAATTTGTATCTTGCAGCAACAACATGAAGTCTTACCTATCACCTTCGACAACTATTAAAGAGCCTCGGATTTATTGTTGTTTCGTTGATCGGGGAAGAGAAGATCTACGGTATTCCCCGATGGATTTTTTTTCTTTCAGCAACAGCATGAGGTCCAACCTATAAAGATTGAAAGAGCGACCAACCTATCACATTTGACCACTATTACGGAGTTTGTTGTTTCGTTGATTGGGGAAGAGAAGATCTAAGATATTCCCCGATGGATTTTTTTTTTCTTTCAGCAACAGCATGAGGTCCAATTTATCCTATAAAGATTGAAAGAGTGGCCAACCTATCACCTTTGACCACTATTAAGGAGATTGTTGTTTCGTTGATTGGGGAAGAGAAGAAATACGGTATTCCCGATGGAATGTGTGTCTTTCAGCAACAGCATGAGGTCCAACCTATAAAGATGGAGAGTCCAACCTATCACGTTTGACCACTATTAAGGAGATTAATTGTTGTTTCGTTGATTGAGGAAGAGTAGATCTACGGTATTCTCGATGGAACTTGTGTCTTTCGATCAGCAGCAGCATGATTTTTGGTAAAATACTATCAAATTTGTTGAACCCTCAAACTATTATCTCGTTCAAATATATATTGCCAATAATCCCAAAAAGGTCATTTCTGCATGCTATAAAGTGGTGGAAAAAAGAAAGATGTCGAAAAAAGGTATGCCAATATATGTATATTAATAGCTTATGTGGGTGTATCATTTCTATCTGTTCACCTTAGGTCAAGAAATCGACTTTTGTAATTTATAATGTCAAAACTTGCATTTCATTGCTATAGAATATCAATTTGTACACTAGTATATATCGACATTTAAGCATAACAAGCATTGCATAATTTGATGCTTTATGAAAAACTCTCTTCTATTAATTTTTAATTTTATTTTGCAGGATATATAGGCTCATAGACATTCCTTGTTGTGGAGGATTTTGACATTGGAAGTTGATAACAACACATAAAATGCCATCCAGTTGATAGCTTTAAGTGAAGATGCACTGAAAAGTGGAGCGTACATTGTATATGTGATCGTACAAGAACTGTTGGAATTTGCAAACTTTTAAACTTTCATTGTGACAAATACCTATATCATAAACTTGATCTTTTAGAAATTGTTGTTTGGGCTGTATTTAGAACCCTCTAACCAAGAAATTTGTTTTACATGCACACGTATAAAAATTGCGGTTTTATCCAACGAAATCATATATATATAGGTTTGAACGTTGTTTTCAATTTAGACTTTTTATATTTTTTCGTTTGGGCTTGTATTATATTTTCCTTCGGGTTTATATGATCCGTTCATCCTATTTCGACTCTTTAAAATTCAAGAGTCTATCCTAAATTGAGGTAAATTATATGGCCTTCCAAATACCGTTTCGATCCCTAACATCACTGAAGAGACATTTATTGTCGAAATCCGGATATGGTGTACAAATTTTTGCACCTCAAGTTTGTGGTATACCATCTTTTCCACAAGTTTATTGTTTTCTGTTTGGTATTATATTAATATTAAGATCCATTTTTTTTTTAGATCTGGTGATCAATTTATTTGGCAATCGCCAATGGCAGTCAGCAGGGTTTAAGAACACCAGTTGTTCGACCTGTTAGTCAAATGCGTTTTGTTGAAATAGACTTTTTCACGTTTTTTGATCTTTTAGAAATTGTTGTTTGTGCTGTATTTAGAACCCTCTAACCAAGAAATTTGTTTTACATGTACACGTATAAAAATTGCGGTTTTTATCCAACGAAATCATAGGTTTGAACGTTGTTTTCAATTTAGACTTTTTATATTTTTTGTTTGGGCTTGTATTATATTTTCCTTCGGGTTTATATGATCCGTTCATCCTATTTCGACTCTTTAAAATTCAAGAGTCTATCCTAAATTGAGGTAAATTATATGGCCTTCCAAATACCGTTTCGATCCCTTACATCACTGAAGAGACATTTATTGTCGAAATCCGGATATGGTGTACAAATTTTTGCACCTCATGTTTGTGGTATACCATCTTTTCATTTTTTTTTTTTAGATCTGGTGATCAATTTATTTGGCAATCGCCAATGGCAGTCAGCAGGGTTTAAGAACACCAGTTGTTTGACCTGTTAGTCAAATGCGTTTTGTTAAAATAGACTTTTTCACTTTTTTTTATCTTGTAGAAATTGTTGTATGTGCTGTATTTAGAACCCTCTAACCAAGAAATTTGTTTTACATGCACACGTAAAACAAATTGCGGTTTTTATCCAACGAAATCATAGGTTTGAACGTTGTTTTCAATTTAGACTTTATATATATATATATATATATATATATATATATATATATATATATATATATATATATATATATACAGCAATGAAACGTCTTTGCACTGGAAAAATCGTTTGGTCTTGATATGTTTTAGTTGTATATGGAACAAGAATGCACACGCTGAAATGTCTCGCCTGTTTTACTGACCATTGATTTCATGTTGAAAGTCTTAAAGATAAAGTTTTTAATACAAGTATCACATAAACTTAGAATTCTACAGATACATGACATTGAGGTCAAGGTCAGATAAAAACTGTCACACAGACATGTACACATTACAATTATTCCATACAACAAATATAGTTGACCCATTGCTTATGGTAATCGAAAAACAGACCAAAACACAAAAACTTAATGTTAACCAATGAACCATGAAAATGAGGTCAAGGTCATATAAAAACTGTCACGCAGACATGTACATCTAACAATCATTCAATACACCAATTATAGTTGACCTATTGCTTTTAGTATTTGAAGAACAGACCAAAACACAAAAACTTAACATTGACCAATGAACCATGAAAATGAGGTCAAGTTCAGATGACACCAGCTAAACAGACATGTACACCTAACAATCATTCCATAAACCAAATATAGTTGACCTGTTGCGTATAGTACTTGAAACAAACAGACAAAAACACAAAAACTTAACATTGACCAAAGAACCATTAAAATGAGGTCAAGGTCAGCCGACACCAGCTAGACAGACATGTACACCTTACAATCATTCCATACACCAAATGAAGTTTACCTATTGCTTACAGTACTTGGAAAAAAGACCAAAACACAAAAACTTAACATTGACCAATGAACCATGAAAATGAGGTCAAGGTAAGATGACACCAGCTAAACAGACATGTACACCTTACAATCATTCCATACATCACATATAATTGACCTGCTGCTTGTAGTATCTGAGAAACGGACCTAATCACGTAACTTTAACCTTGATCATTGATCCATGAATTAAGGTAGAGGTCAGGCTAACCCTGTCTGACGGACATGTAGACTTTGCAAGGAACCCATATACCAAATATAGTTATCCTATTACTCATAATAAGTGAGAAATTCAGATGGCAAAAAAAAAAACTGTAATTTTATTTCAAGCAGTCACTGAACCATGAAAAGGATGTCAAGGACAATGGGCATATGACAGACGGAAACTTCGTAACATAAGGTATCTGCATACGTGAAGCATCCAGGTCTTCTTTCTTCTGAAATGTAAAGCTTTATACAAATAGTTTACGCCGACGCCGGATAGTAATACCTATGTCTCGCATACTGCGACTTTCGTCGCAGGCGAGACAATAAACCTAAAATTAACGTAAGATTTATATTTATTTATACTAATCTCCCTGCATTATCAACTAAGTAAATAAACTGAACATTTCCAAATTTCTCAACGCAAATAAATCAGGACGAAAGGAAAAACTGAGTTTTTCAGATTAAATTTTATAATATTGCTAATTTAAACGTATTCAATTTATTAATGTTAATGTACTTAACAATAAGATTACGCAAGCCTTTCAAAATTATGTTTACCGCCTCGGTGGTCTCGTGGTAGCGTGTTAGCGTCGAGTGCGGGAGGTCATGGGTTCGAACCCCGACCCGGACTAACCAAAGACTTTTAGATTGGTATATGCTGCATCTCCGCTAAGCACGCGACATTAAGGAGTAAGAGCAAAGACAGGTCAACTCGGAGTCAGAATAATGTGTCCGGGAAGGGTGACATGTCTTCCTGCGAACTGTTATCTTGAGAACTACAAGCACGTTAAAAACCCGGCTCAGCATGTCAGTCTAGTAAAAAGCAGGGTTACTATTCATATTACATTAACATTTGATCGTCATGAATATGCATTTTTTTTGCCGCAGGATGTGAAGCAGCCATTCATCAGCATCATCATCACTATCAACAACACCATCATCACATCGTCGTCGTCATCATCATCATCATCGTCATTGTCATCGTCGTCGTAATCGTCATCACCATCATTGTCGTCGTCGTCGTCGTCGTCGTCGTCGTCGTCGTCGTCGTCATCGTCATCATCATCATCATCATCATCATCATCATCATCATCATCATCATCATCATCATCATCATCATCATATTAATTTTATTGATGAGTATAATCTGGACCCGGAAGTGCAGAAAGGTCAGTTGTGCATCACTGTGGTGTCATAAACATGTTGAAATAGACACATTTGACCTAAAACTACAATTTGATACATATGTGTTTGACAAAATAGATATGAGCAACGGCATTACACAAATTATTATATGTGTCAAATATTTTTTAGCAAAATCTTTTGGGTAAAACTCTTGGTCATGTCTAAATTAAACTGACAAGATCTCAAAAGGAGGCTATTTATGCACTAAATTCAAGAAATTTGAAGCCTTATAACAACAAATGCAAGTATGTAAGAAAAATTCAAATATGAATACTTATGTCTAAAAAGTAAAATCACAAAAATGAACTCCAAGGAAAATTCAAAACGGAAAGTCCTTTGTCAAATGGCAAAATCAAAAGCTCAAACACATCAAACGAATAGAAAACAACTGTCATATTCCTGACTTGGTAAACATGCATTTTCTTATGTTGAAAATGGTGGATTAAACCTGGTTATATAGCTAGCTAAACCTCTCACTTGTATGACAGTCGCATAGAATTCCAAACAAAATGAAGGATGTTCTTTGGTAGATTTATGGAACTTTTGATTTTCGAATTGAAAGGACCTAAAAAGAGGACTTATCATACCTTCCCCTTTTCACTTTAGAGACCCTTTAGAGGTTGTCATATAGAGCGGGCATCTGCACATTGTTGACGGTACTGTATGGTGACTTCCAGCTATCATTGCTTTGATCATGACAATGGATGGATGTTTATTGTCCAGTCGAAAAATAAATGCATATTCACGAAAAAATAATGACATAATAAATCTTTTGGCAGATTTTTACTTGAAAAGGTGAAAATGGGCCTGCATCCAAATGGTCCCATATATCAAATTATTATAGAGTTTGTATGTGGAACAACTTACCAAAGGGGCAGTCCATGACATAACTCTAAATGTTTGCCCCGTTGCCGACAATGCTATTATGAAAATATTTAGATACTGATGCTTTAAATAAGTTATTGAATATCCCTTCGGTATCTTCCGCATCTCTTTTAAGGAAAACATGTTGTTGTTTAGTAGGAGCACGATATCTATTTGGGATTTTACCGACGTAAAAAATACATTGTCCCATGGGTTAATGTCATTGTCCTTAATGCCATTGATGGAATAGCTCTGATTCTATTAGGATGCGTTAATATTCAAATTCTCACTTTGTATTGCAAAACAAAATGCTTTGAGGCTTTTTCTTTATTTCTTACATTAAAAATGCACATTACTTAAAAAAAACTAAAATATGGTCCAATTGAAATACCTTAGGTTTGTAATGAGTCATCATAACAGAGTAGGCGTGATTGAATTATAAACTATCATATAAAGACCGAATTATGGTCAAATTTATCCTTGTTTTAATAAATGCCTCACCCCCTTGAGACGTAAATCTGACACCCCGAGCGACACATTACATTTCGATGAACAAATTCTTTTGAAACCAATAAATTTTGACTAAGAAGCTGGGGGTATGGTTAAATTCTATGATAGGAATTCATTTCTATATATTTCATACGGGGAAAAATCGCCAAAAGTATTTTTTTATCCTGAAACTGTCATATGAAGTCCGAGCTCAAAATCTGCAACATGGAGAACTGGGAAGAGGTGTTTGAGAAAACGAAGCAACGGAAACGTCTGCTTCTGATTGCTGTAAATAGATAATGGTTCGATTCCTTCCGTGCAATACATTATTTAGTGGTAGTAATTCTCAAAAAAAAGAAATTTTGATACTTTTACTTACCTTGATCGCTTTTTCTCCTCTTCCGAACCGCCACCCCGTGTCAAACATAGCCAACACACCGAATGAGGCGTTCTACACGGTGTATATCACTGTGTAGCATCACCACCGGAGGTACCTCAGAAGCGGTGGAAAAAACAAATGTGAAGTCAGGTAAGGTCAATTTCTTCTTATTTTCATTATATTCTACGTTTTGCTGACAAGTGAATACTGATTCTTAATAACGTAGCTACTATTAAGGGCTGATTGGGATCCTTAATTGGCTGTCTCTCTCTTCAAATCGTCAGAATCGGATAGGGTGGTACCTGTCAACGAAGCATGTGACGAGTTAAAACTAGATAAAAACACATTTTTCCTTTCAACTATTCATTTGACGTTTTTCGTAGAACAAAGGTATATCAGATTCAAGCTTGAACAACACTGTATTTCGAAATAAACTATTTTTATAGAGAAATTCTTGTAAATGAAGCGGATAAATTGTACGGCGAATAGCGGCGAATTGTTGTTTACTGTACGGGGATTAGAATAGGTACATTTTGCTATCATTGTTGTTTTGCTTCGGGGGTACCTATATCCGGTGGTGATGCTACACATTGTATATAGTATTTAAACATTTAATTATCGTGTACACACATTAGATTTAAATGTAGAATAGGTATTCACCGTCACATATGACTGCTAGTGAATTTCATATGAATTATCCCCCTTTGTTCTTTGTTATTCATAATTTTAGACAACAAAACACGTTTGTCTGTTTTCTATTACAACTTCAGCAATTAATAGAAGAAACCACTAAAATACATGGGATACGTATCAGTATTTATCAATGCTATTATTGTAGCACTGATGGCTATGTACGTGTACGAAAATGAAAGAAGAATAGGCGAAATGTCAACTAGGCTTGCTCGAACAGGTAATGAGAAGTAAAATAGTTCAGGGAAACACAATAATTTACGTCAAACTAATAAAAATATAAAGATAATAAGATAAAAAAAAATCATGCATAGTGATCAACCAAATAATTCCAAAAATATTAGTATACCGCTGATGAAATATATAAAAAAAAATCGTCTAAAATAAGGTAATATCATCTATGGTCATCTATAGACTCAATTATAAAGTAATGTGTAAAAGTGGATCCTACTAACTCAATACGTTTTACGTTTCTTTTTGGGTATAACGTAATGATTTGGGTTGGTAACTGTATGTTGACCCCTAGCTAGATGTGTTTAGGTTATTTATATCGCTGGAATGCTGTCTTATTGATGTGAACACTACACCTCCCATAATTCATAATAGTTTGTCATCTACCTAGCTGCACTTATTTCAGTTGTTTCTTAAAGTCCAATAATATTAAATATATGTTGCCATCCTCGAATATATTTTAACATTGCTGAAATCATTCGAAGGATCTAGATCTACATTTCATGCTCGACTAGCCCTCATATAATGTTTGAATTCAGGTTCATTTTTCCTTTACCATGTTAACCCTGGCATGTAAAAAATATCATTGTCATCAAACAAACCTATAGTTTACAATATAAGGAAGGCTTTTTTCACATCAGTATCAACCAATGAAAGTAAAATTTTTATGGGAGGTAGATAAATACTAATGCATAATATGACTCTTTGATATTTTTGACTGCATGGGGACAAGAAAATTCCAGTGATTTGTAACAAAATTGCACTTACAAAAACGGTAATTTCGATATTTGTAAATCTAGACGATTTTAAGACCAATTTATAATATCATATTTTTTGGTTTTTAAAAGGAGATAGCATAGTCGTTTGTCAATGTCATGATTCGTCTCATTGTCGGCATGTGTTGAATCTTCGGCCTTCCGTTTAACTAGCTTCTGGTAATTTTGTTCAGTTTGCCAAGGTGGGAATACTGTTCTTATCTCCTGTTCTGCCGACATAGCGCGACAGAAAATTAACAGCGCAAAGCAAAACACATAAAAGTTTTTGATAGTTTATCACCGATGATGATATCATCAACATACTTGACTTTTTTATCCACAAAATATTTGTTGTGTTTGGTGGATTGATATATATACAGATGGTTGGTATTCCAATGGTGCACCCCTACTTGCCGACTTGTTTTAGCACTCATGTGAAGCAGAATTCATACAAAACATTATAAAAGAAAAAAGAAAAGAAAAAAGAAACATCTTGCAAAAAAAAAAGTTCTTTAATTCAGATATCAAGGATATACTGATGATGTCTTGTCACTCAATAACCCACATTTCAGTGAGTGCCTGAATCTTATATACCCCAGTGAACTGAGATAAAGGATACTACCGAAACTAGAAGGTCTGCTTCATAAATGTTTTTTTTTAAATTGTATCATTGTTTACTGAAAATGTTAACGCTTGTTAGTTTCATACAGAAAATACCAATACCGTATCCTGGTTTTGTTCAACATAATTAGTATATATAATAAATATTATTGGTTAGTATTTGCTAGTTATCTAAATTCTGAAATAATCATTACTAGATTATAATATAACCATAGCTTCTTTATGATCTGGAGCAGGATCTGCTTACCCTTCCAAAGCACCTGAGATCACCCAATGTTTTTGGTAGGGTTCGTATTGCTCAGTCTTTAGTTTTCTATGTTGTGTTTTGTATACTATTGTTTGTCTATTGGTCTTTTTCTTTTTTAGCCATGGCGTTGTCAGTTTATTTTCGACTTATGGGTTTGAATGTCCCTTTGGTATCTTTCGCCTCTCTTTTTCAATAAAGAATGCCATATATTTTTGAAAAAAGAAGAAAACTTTTTTTTTATAAAATACACAGAAATTTGATTTTTTGACAACAGTGTCTATATATTCATAGCGAATTTTATATTACGCTTCACTAGTAAGGGTGTACTCCTACACACATAACCTGCTCCAACAGAGTTAGAAGGAAGAACGTTATGTCTGTGTCTCAAGTAACTTGCGACATGTTTTCGCAGTCTTAGATTTTTAGATACCAGAAAAATCGTCTTTTATGTAATTTTACCGATTGTGACATTTTGACTTGGTGTGGATTCGCATGATGGCGGATGGTGCATATAAAGCAGACGATTCGTTTGGAGTTCATGCGATTCCCGCAGTTTTTGTTTGGTATCTTGATATGTATTCCTAATCAATTTATGAGATTTAAGCATCGGTAAACTACAGTTGCCTTAATTTATGATCAAGAACTGACCTAATAATATAAACAAAATAGTAAAATAACATCTGCACAAATGTATTAAATATGTCAATTGATCTTTGAAGAATTATTTTATTTGTCGTCGTTTGATTTTTGCACTTTTTTTTGTTATATGCATGTTTAAGACCAGAACAAAAATCTAAACGGTAGATCAGGTAAATTAAGTCGACCGGAACAATGGGCGAGAATTAAGAATGCTACTGGTATAAGTATATTTTCGCATGGAGTCTAAATTTCTCAACTCATACGATATTCAAGATCTTGCAGCTGCTACTCTGAAATTGTCTGAGCAAACAATTAATGAGCCAGGGTTTTGCCAGACGTTCTTTGACTAAAAAAGTTCATGGGAAAGTTCAAAGACCTAATAGGTAAATTTTCAGTTTCTACTTCACAAATAATACAAGATGGCCTTGAGTTATAGATTCTAGGTGCTGAAGTTGTGTATCTTTTTATTTACTTTAAATACTGTTTTCCCTTTATTTGTCTTCGTGCTATTATGTTTCATTTGATCGAATGATTCAGTATAAATTTTATGCACCGGATATTTTATTGTGAGCGTTCCTGGTGCAGGTGGGTTATGAGGTGTGATTCGGACGCAAGAGGCTTTTACAGTGTTGTTTCTATATTTTATATTTTATTTTTCTTAATTTGTACTTTATCGAGAAAGTGTATACTATAAACGGTATATACTACAAACTGCAAACACTTTTTTTTATCGGCTTTTTTTGTCAACTTATTATCAACTACAATTTTTTGTTGGTGTCTTTGTTAGATTTATTGGTATGTTTGTTTGATTTTTTAGTCAGTTGTGTTGTATGTGTGTGATGTATATTTACAGAGTTTGGGATGCTGGATCCCACTTATTGTCATATTACCTATTATGTCTGCTTGGGTTGTTCACATAATTTTGTCAATATAACGAAACTGTAAACATCTGTCATACAAGAGAGAGATTTAGCTAGCTATAAAACCAGTTTATCCCACCATTTGTTTTCCACTCGTTCCGTTGGTTGATTATGTTTGATTTTGTCAGTTTATATTGACTCCCCCTTTTGAATTTACCTTGGAGTTCGGTATTTTTGTGATACTTTTTTTGGATACGGTCACATCCTGGCTGTGCAAAAGAACTCAACGTAAAGTTGTTGTATTAGTTCTCCAAACTACAGATAACGTACATAATGCTATCCCAGCACGAGGCATCGGATTTATCGTCCCCATTCTGACTAGAAGTAGCTGCGTATTGTTATGATATTGTAACTATCATGTTTTTTTTTCATCTTGGTCTAATTTGTTTTGTGTGGCCTTATAACTTGTATAATATGTTTACATACTATTTATAGTTGTTTACAAAGTAATGTTATAACTGTGCAGTTTAGAAATCACTGGAACAATCATAGATACTGATGGAATGATTAGAACTTTCTATTTGACTTACATAATGATTCTAGAATGACCATACACTACGATGTGTACTTTTAACTTCTACTAAAGTATATTCTAGAAGTTTTCGTTCTAAAGTTTTCTAGGAGTTGCCCTTCTACAGTGTTCTAGAGGTTTCCGTGACAGCTATATATATATACCGAAACCGAAATTGGACAGATCAGACATAAATATATTTGCATTGGATTCTCAAAAGATCTCTGGAGTTGTTGGATTGACACTTTGATTTACGTTATCTACATCATACTAGATTGTGAACTTATTGGACTCATTCGATTACAGTTAGAGAAGAATTCCGGATAAAGAAAAGACAAAGGATCGGACACATAATTTAATAGTTAAGTTGACATTTCTATTTGTGTAATATTTCTTGTAAAATTGTATAATACATCTTGTTAAATTTTATTATTGATTTGTGTCTTTTGTTGGCTACAATTTTAAGGTTATTTCTGGCCGTAACAGTATTTACACATCTCTCACATCTAAAAGACGCCTTTTTTTAGGTATGTTTTTTGTTGACATGAATATCATTGATATGTTATTTTTTTATTAAATTTTCTGTTTATATTGAATTGTTCGAAACACTATAACACATGGAGCGAAATGTTTTTATTTTTTTCACACCGGTTATTTATGGCCGTAACAGAAATTGGGGGCTCGTCCGGGAGAACGTTAATATCAGATTAAAATTTTCTGTATTTATAGAATTAGAATTAGCCAACAAAATTTTGATGCCGGTAAATTTTTATAACGCCAGACTTGGAAGGGGTTGATAACTTATAGAAAGAGGAATTAGTGTTGCTTGCTAAACATCTAAAAATAAATTTTATGAGAAAACAAATTATAAAAAATTTGGTAATAGACAAATTAGTTGACACAGACTTTTTTGGTGAAGAGGCTCTTGAACTTAAGGTCGAAAATGTTGATTCTATCAAGGTAAAACAGCTTGAATTAGAACATGAATTTAAATTAAAACAATTGGAAAAGGAAGAAAGACAGGCAGAACTTGAAATGAAGGAAAGGGAAAGGTTAGAGATAGAGAAAATAAAAGAAAAAGAAGATGAATTTAAATTAAAACAGGCAGAACTTGAAATGAGAGAAAGGTTAAAATGAAAATTGAAATGGTTAAAGTAGAAAGCAATACTAAAGTAGAGTCAAAATCAGAATATTTTGATGCAGCACAAAATATACGTCTGGTTTCCAGATTTTGTGAAAAAACAGTTGATAAATATTTTCTACAAAATTTGAAATGGCAAAAGCCTTATTGGACTA